AGTGGTAAGTATAAGATTGGCGGCCGTAGAATAGTGGAGCATTACGTAATTACTGTTATCAGGCTTGGTTGTGGCCGACACCAGGGGATGTCTTGACAACACTGGGCTCTGGCAGAGCGGGAGTCAGCGCTGGTTGACTTAGATAGGTAAAGCTAGACTAAGAGTAGGAGCTAGAACCGGTTAAGGTTAGGTCGTTTAGTTAGGTAGATGGTTATAGTGGTAAGTATAAGATTGGCGGCCGTAGAATAATGGAGCATTACGTAATTACTGTTATCAGGCTTGGTTGTGGCCGACACCAGGGGATGTCTTGACAACACTGGGCTCTGGCAGAGCGAGAGTCAGCAATGGTTGACTCAGATAGGTAAAGCTAGATTAAGAGTAGGATTAACGGCAGGAAGTAGGTTGCGTAATATTTGAGGCAGTATGAATCGGAGCAATTAGGAATTTGTTGCACAGCATTTGAGGCAATATGAGTCTAAGTGACTAAGCGTTGGTTGAGCAAATATTCGATTATTCGTTGTTCAGTTAAGTACCTTGGGCACCTTTATTATACCCCTTGTTTGCATTCTCACCCTATTCGATAGAGGGTCATGGTTGATACCGGACTAGTGTAAGGGACCAGGACCAGTTATGGTTGGGGCCTGGTGAGCACGGATGGAACGTGTCGTTAGAGGTTTAGAATCGACAGTGGTTATTTCAGGGCACCTAGATTAGGCACGGTCAAGGCGAGTTGACCGTGCTATCCGTGTTTTATGTTGCAGCACTAGATCGCTGAGCGTTTATGGGCGATACGAGTCTGGTTAATTAGGATTTGAAGTAGAGGTTGTCGAATTATTCATTGTATTGTTTCATAGTTTAACTTTGTTTACCCTTTATTATCACGCTCGTTTCCATTGTCCAAACCCTTAATTAAATGCAAATAAACTTCGAACCGGGAAGCAAGTGTCGACTGCTTACATTATGTCAGCAAGAGCAGCTATTGATGCCCTTCTTAAAACATCCTCATTACTTACTCGATGGAACCACCTCACTCTCATGATTCTGCATAAGCAGTACTGATGGAAAGACTCCAATTTTCTTGTCTGCACTTGAGTCGTGTTCCATATCTCGCATCCATAGCTAGACGTCAAAATGGTAAGAACAGCTGCGATGTAGATTCACACTTTGTTGTTAATGCTTATGTTCTTATTCTTCCAAAATGTTGTTGAGTTGGTTAAAAATGTATACTAGCAGTCCTTAAATTTACTCGTAATAAATAGATTCATTCATTATTATCAAACATGTCAATCTTACAAATGTCAACAACCCTAAAACAATTTAGAACCGAAACGTGATCCTTTGTAAGATTTTTTTTATCTAGACACTTATTTTACTTCGGAGTATTCCAACAGCCATATTGTTACACATGTGCAACCAGCCAATTACAGGAAGCCGAAGGATTTGTTTTTAGCCAGTGACGGTTAAGGTAGTGTGTACCATACTTTCTTCGCCCGAGACTTTGCTGCAATGTGCAGCTCCTCATTTAACCCTCACACCCGATTTCTCGAGTATTCGGCTGAGTAGACCGGGGGGCTGCATAGACCACTCACGATCCTTAGCTGAATGTCAACGACACTCACCCCACGACCAGGCAGGCAGTGGGATTTGAACCCGCAACATCACGATTGCAAAGCTGGCTAACCAACTGCGCTACCTGGCCGTTAAAAACTTTTTAACGGCCAAAAGTCAAATTGACTTGTACTCAAGTATAAAGTTGAACAATTTTCTCCAATAACCACGGTCACTAGTAAGTTCTCTCAAATGGAGAATATCATCATACGACTCCAGCAAGATGAAACGCTTCCAGAGGTCAACCTTCAGGTGGTGTAGGAGGTTACGTCTGTGAGCCCCCAGTCTACCAACTTCACTACACATCTCGACAGCAAAACACAGCGCAACTTGAGCTGGTGATCTTTCATCGCTCCTCAGTATGTGTCCTAGCATCTTCCACCTAGATAACTCAGCACACTCAGACATAGGGGTAGAGTTACTCTGTTTGTAGAGGGTATCTTTGGACATCATACTGCGTGGCCATTCATGATCTTTCTAAGGTGGTTACGGTGACATGCATCTAATTTGTCCCTGTACGATTTAGGCATTCCCAGCAACTAGAGTTATACATGAGGATAGATACTACTTGGGCCTCATAGAGTAAAACAAAGTATTTTTAGTAAAACAAAGTATTTTATTTATTAATCAATCATTATATGATATAATTATAAGAATTATATGATATAATTATAAGAATATAATAGTATGTCACACCTATTTAACTGTTACGTTTGAGTAGTTGTGCCATGGCTAAATCTAACTAGGACCAGTGGTGTCGATTAACATTTAATAGGTGAGTCTAAGTGACACAAATGGAAAATTTTAAGAAAAGACGGATCAAAACACAGATCCAAGGACAAGGAGACCCCACTGCAGGACCATACATGCTATTGGCTTGTGCATGGCCCAAAAAGGTTCCAGTTGTCCAGGAAACTGTACGTAGCTGGTCAACTAGTTTTGAATTCAGACTAGGCTTGATGAGTTCTGGGGTTTCTAGAGGTAGACCATCAGCTTCTTCTGTAGGGGGATCTTACTCTGACACCAGACCTTCTTGAAGTTCTGGAATGCTACATTGGCTAACATGATTCTTCTGGTGACATCTTTCCTACTTTCTAGCAGAGAACCCAACAACTTGTTGTCATAGTTGTATGACCCGCCGCGCACGAAGTGCGCGGCTCCCCTGTATCGTCGAAGACGATACACTATAGTGAAGCGACCGTGGGGGTCATCACGTCATACAAACAAGTTGCTACCGCACCATTCTTCATTTATTCTAAGGGGTTTACCATCATCCATGATCTCATCTTTCTTTGAACACCTTAGATTCATCCAATGTCATAAAACTCTTAACCATACACGTGACCAGTAAAATATTTTAATTGGTCTATAGACTACTGTTTAAAATTCTCAATATAAACTTTTTTAACAATAATGAATTAGTTTTTAACAATAATAAATTAGTTAAAAACACACCAACCATGTTCATTTAATTGTTAGGAAAACAAATTTTTAGGAAAATAAATTTACATTTTGGTATTTATTAATAACAATCAAAAGTAAAATACAATTTTTAATTAAAATACAATTTTTATTTTCCACAGAAGAATCGATACATGTTAAATTATAAATATCTTTCACATAGCCATGTGTCTACGCGTACTGCGTGACGGTCGCACGCTACTGCAAGCGAGAGGGCTCTGGTTAGAGCAATAAATATTTCATAATTTTATTAATAATCATTAAAAGTTGCTTTGTAAAATCAAAAACGAAAAGCCTCGGAGGACTTCGCCGCTTCGACGCGCCGCGCGAACTAGCATTCTTGCTTCGTCGATCGTTGCTCTGCTTCGCAGAGCAACGATCTCAATGGGTTGACATTTCACCTAACCATCTGCTTTCGCGCCACTGCGGGCGCGCTTGTTTCACAAGTCAAGAAAAGCACCTATCCACGAACCCCGATGGGAAGGTTCGTGCGCGCGCGTGCAGTGCTGACAACAGCGTCTATGTAGCGAAGGAAGTCTTGGCACTACTCCCTCCAGTATGCAGTAACCACTTTTGCAGGTTTCTATAGTGCACAGTGACCGTGTATAGGGATTAATTAAATATAAACTACAGTACAGCTGTACTTACACCTACATTCACAAGCATGCAAGCTCACTTGGTCCAATGAGCGGGAAACGTAGGACAAGGGCTGGTGACGTCATAGTCACGTGACCTCATAGACTCATAATTAGGTGACCTCAGACCCAATCAATGATCAATTAGGTTTGGGCGTGGTCAGCCCCCTGTCACCTGATCTTTAGGTGACGTACGACACCTCGTTTATGCAATCAATGTCTGAAAGGCTACACACGTTGGATATGAGGACAAAAGCGCGGGAAATTTTGGCACCACTGTACAGTGGTGCCAAAATCGTTGGGTGGGTTCATGGCTAGAGCCCTTTTTACCGCCGTGAGGCGGGCGCGCGCTACTGCAAGCGCAAGGGCTCTGGATAGAGCAAGGTTGACATCGTCAACCAAGAAAAGCCGAACGCTGAACGCGCTCGGCATCTTATCGTCAGCTGCCTAACTTGTTGCTCTAACCAGAGCCCTCTCGCTTGCAGTAGCAGTAAACGTAGACACATGGCTATGTGAACCTAACTTGTAGCCGCTAACATCAAAGCCGCCGCGCGCGCCAAGTGCTGGGTGCATTCTCAAAGACAAATAAACTTGGTCAAAGATATTTATATACTTGCTCTAACCAGAGCCCTCTCGCTTGCAGTAGTGAGCGACCGCTTGTTGCTTGTGAAACAAGCGCGTCACGCAGTACGCGTATACACATGGCTATGTGAATTTATATACAATTTCTAAATTAAATCAATAATCATGTAAATCTGAGTATTCATGACTACTCGACAGCAAATATTTGTTGGCCCATCGACGATTCAGTCGCCGAAACAAAAATCAAATGTTTGCTTTTTCGTTTCGGGAACTGTTTGAACTCAATGACAATATTATATCTGACTAATCATATATATATACACTTTATAATGGTTAAAAAACAAAGTAAAAAGATTTTCCTCGATGGGCCGGCATTCGCAACCGCGAAACGTTTTGAGTACGACAAACGATGACACCACCACCAGCCCATAGTTGATAAGTCCGTGGGATAAAATTAAATTTATAATTTCATATTTCAAAAATTTCAAAACATATCATATCATAAAAATAAAGTCGCGTGTTGGTAGACAAAAAAATTTGTTTTCCTTTGAATTTTTTTAAAAGGGCCGCGCCCCTGACAGTTGAAATTTACCTGATTTGATGTATTTTCGAACGCTAACTCTGAATATGATGATGATTAATTGTTAATCGCTATTCACTCAATTGTGACGTGACTTTTTCAACCCGTTCTCTAGCTGGTCCTCAACTGGTCCCCGACTGTAGCACGCTCAGATTCTGAATTTTATTTTAGAATCGAGCGCTATCAAACAATTTTGTTGACGATTCCTTCAGATTAGATTTTTTGTTTTATCTTCCCCGCACACTCAAACTGATGGCCGATTTTACTCCCCATCAGGTAAGATGTTAATGTGGCACTGTTAACCTTTAATTTAGCTTTGTATGCTGATGAGGTTTTTTATTTTGTAGACATGTGTGAACATTTTTTGAACATTTTGAACATTTAAAATATAATTTGGAACATTACAGTAACGTTATTCAAATCTCAAACAGAAAAAAGTATATTTCAAAGCTTTGTGTGATCATATGATTATGGGTGTATAGTGATTTTGATTGCATAAATTTGATTGGGCAGTGATGGTGAGCGAGAAGATGATGGGAGTGCCAGCCAGTAACTCTGTCAAATAAACAGCCCACTGAGGAGTGGGTGAGCGCAAGCGCGAGAACGGCAGAGAGGGTGGCATAAAACGGAATACACGGCCACAGAAAAGACACAGAAACTAAGCCGTGCGCGGTAAGTTAGCCAGTGTCTGAGAGCTAGTGTTGCCCGGTCGGAGGCATCCAAAAGAGGTGCCGTGGTGAACTGTGGAGGCAAAGTTCGAATGCAAGGCGAAGCAACTCAAACTGATGATGAAGAGGTTGACTGAACGGGAAGTAAAGAAAAAGGAAAAGGAAGGATCCAGCTGAGGTCTGGCTCATGTCAGGAAGTGATGAAAAGCTCACAGACAAAATCATCCGTGGCTGTCTACCCCGTACGTAGGCAGTGTCCGAGATTTCAGGCATCAGGATACACTGAAACAGTGCAGAGCTGATTACGACCAGGGTCCTCACGGATACCCCGCCTCGGAGGTCGAGCCAATGCCCTGCTTTCGATACTTATGTCTACTGGTGGAACCTTCATATTTTCTCTACTAGCAGTCACTGTAACCCTATCACTCGGAAGGCCCCACAGCTCCTACATGGACGCACGGCCGGGAGCCCATGTAGGGATAAAAGTGAACGCAAGCCTTCCATCACATCCATCACAGATTCAAAGCTGGGAGGAAAAAAAGGGAGGAGAGGAAAAAAGAAGAAAGAATACAAAAAAAGAAAACTGAGAAAGGAAACTAATTATCTGCTTTCAGACTGTCTTTGAAGTTGAGGGTTAGTCTGTAGATCTTGTTAATGGTGCTGGTTGAGAGTTTGATCAAACTTACGTCCTCATCACTGGGAGTATCCTTGCAATCAGACTGCGACATGAACGTGGAGGCAAGATTGAAGCTACCATTACCAACATTGTTGAGTAGGTTTCCACTGAGATTTTGAAATTTGTCCCTAGGACCTTTCCCTAGGGGCAGAAATGGAGCATATGATTCTCGTCCTCAATGAATAGCTGGTTGGTGTTAAGCTCGCAATAGTTGCAGGTCCTTTCATCAATTGGAGTTTTGTCATATCTCCCCCTTTCAATTCTAAGGTGATGAGAACTGGACCGAATCTGTGTGGTTGCCCTTCTGTCCTGAAAAGACCTAGCATAGGTTAGATATGGCTCCCATGCAAATTCTGTTTTGACTTCACTGTAGAATGATAGCTTTCTAGAATCTTTCACAAGAGAACCCCAGGAATCGCGGAATTGTTTTTTCAGGTTCTCTGTGATTAATTCAGGGCTGCAGGAGTCTGCGAGTGAGGTTGCGTTCAACAGCGACGATGAATTCCTTTCAAGAAGGTCGATGTTGTTGAATGATTTGATGATTGATTCGATGCCTACAAACCATGACAATTTGAGGTTAATCTGCTCAGTCATTGCAGCTTTGACTAGTTGTGTAGAGGGGAGGCTCATAACTCTTTTGAAATATTTAGTACTCAGTTTCAACATTTCAATAATGATTGGGTATGAGCCAGTTTCTCCCCAGGCTGTAGCATTGACTGCCCTTCTGTTTATACCAAGAAGGTATTTTAGGTGTCGTAGATGCACTTGCTCAAGTTGCTGTTTAGCGATGTGAGAGACCGCATGATCAAGATTGTGAAACTTGCTGAAGCTAGAGAGGACCTTATTGACGGTGGGTAGAACCGGGGCCCAAACTTGACAGCCGTAAAGTAGAATTGGCTTAACAAGGGTGTTAAATAATTTGTTAAGGCAGGATGCATCAACGAATCTCCGGTCTATAGTGCTTTTCAAGCTGAAGTAAGCTCCAAGTCCTTTTCGGTATAAAGAGTCAGTTGCTTGCCGAAATTTCCCTGTGCTGCTTATAATAATCCCAAGATAGCAGTAGCTGGAGACCATCTCGATATCTCTTTTGTGAATGGAAGGACGCCAATTTGGAATGTCTGGTCCTTTGCCATTGAAGACCATGAATTTGGTTTTGGAGATATTGATTTCCAGACCCCATTCGTTACAGTAGTCCCCAATAATCGTAAGCAACTTTTGGAGAGACTCAGGATCTAGGGCAAGTATAACTAGATCATCAGCCCACGCTAGGTGAGTCACTGAAAGTGACAGTTCGCAGTAGCTTCGTTAAGGAGGTCAGAAAGCTTTTTAAAGTAAACTTTGAAAAACTCAGGGCTAAGTGGGTGTCCTTGTTCAGTTCCTTTAAGGATCTTGAATGCTTCACTGATTTTACCATTCATCTTGATATGACCCTCTGATTTGCTGTACATGTCTTTGATGATGTCGTAGTAGCCACCATTGACACCATAGCAGGCTAGTTTGAACATGAGAGCTTGTCTGCAGACTAGATCGAAAGCTTTGCGAAGATCAATGAATACTGCATATATTTTATTTTTGACTTTCTTGTATTTTTCTATGGTGGACATCAGCGTAAATATATGGTCATTGCATTGACTTCCTTTGGTAAAGCCTGCTTGGTTGGGTGGATCAGGATGTGAGATTTGGCGGTGATTAACGAGCCGAGATAGCAGCATCGTAGAGAGCAGTTTTCCGATACAGCTACAGACTGCTATTGCTCTATAGTTGTCAGGGTTCCTGATGCACCCTTTTTTGTGAATTGCACCCTTTTTTGTGTGATGATGTGATTTCATAAATTTTACTTACTTACTTACTCAGAAGTTTATATTCTATCATGTGATATTTTGTTACTTTTCATCTTTTTTTCTTGTCAAACAATTCTTGCCAAATACAGCATTTCAGTGATAACAGAAGCACATAATCTTGTTTAACCTGAATTCACTCTATCAGACGTATTATAGTATAACAGTTTCATAGCGAAAATTTGGGTTCACTTACAATACTACTAATGAACCCTTAAATTTCCTGCACAAGCGGTTGTGCATTACTTATTTATCGATTAGCAATATGGGTTTGAAATACTCATTACATTGATGAAAAGGGTTCGTAGAAGCCTTGTTAAATTATGCAGGAAGTTCTGTCCAATTGACATCCACAAGAAGAATGCTGTGTCAATCTGATTATAATAATTCTGATTATAAATACTTTCCTGGCCTTCTTCGAAAATTCTCGGTATCACATGCTACTTCTATTTGTAACATTAACCTTTTACAATCATAGATATACCCCCATCTAACTGCTGCTATGGTTCAATCAGTCGGAGAGGCTTCTAATGGTGGAAAAGAAATTACGACAACCTCAAAACCAATCCTGCCACCTTGTAAACCTGATAACATTGTGTCTCTTGACTGTGAAATGGTTGGATGTGGTTCTAAAGGGAGGATTAGTGCATTAGGTCGCTGTAGTATTGTTAACTACTGCGGAGAGATTGTATATGACAGTTATGTTAAACCTGTTCTTCCTGTGACAGACTATCGGACAAAGTGGAGTGGTATAAGAAGGAAACACTTGTCAAATGCTATGCCCTTTTCAGAAGCCAGAAAACTTATCAAACGCCACCTGTCTGGGAAATACATCATTGGTCATGATTTAAAGAATGATTTTAGTGCATTAAAATTTACTCCACATCCTCTACTCGTTAAAGACACATCAAAATGTATTGCACTACGGCACACTGCAGGTCTTCCAGATCATCAAAAACCTTCATTAAGAACCCTTACAAGTTAGTTTATAATTAAAAATTCACTGTTAATAATTATTTTGTTGTTATTGTAGCTAGTTATACTTCTGACCTCAAGTTATGTGTTAATGATTAAAACTTTTGATTTCATCTTTTTTCAATGAATCAGCCAAATAAGCACAATCATATTACAGGTCAAATATTTGGTAAAGTCATCCAGACAGCATCACACTGTTCAGTCGAGGACGCTAAAGCTGCTCTTATGCTTTATAAGAAAGTTGAAGATCATTGGGACAAAAAAACAAATCCTTTCTTGACTGATACTTATTGGAATGATGTTAAAAAATAGTGACCCAATTTTTAGATTCTACTTTTCTTTTACTATATATCGTTCTTGTTTTATTAACTGATTTATGTTCCCAACATATCATTAAAGCCAAACTTGAGCTTGTTATAAATATGCAGAGATTGTTAATTATTTATGTTATTAATGTTAAAAGTATCATTTTGCAGTAACAATAATATGATAACATTATTCAGCAGGATCCACTATGATTGAGATAACATTTTTGCTAAATGAAGATAAACTCGGATTGTATGCTTTGCAAGGGACAAACAAGCTAGCCAAGTTCAAGGTCCATGAGACACTCCAAAGACTAAGTTTTCTGCCTCCACATTTCATCATGGCAATATCACAGAAAAAGCCCCTTATCTACCTATGGAACATGAGTCAGGATTCTTCTGTTCAGAAGTATGTGCTACCGGGGCTGCCCCTATCTGTTGCAGCATCGCCATGTGGCGCATACATTGCAGTGGGTATCGACAACACAATACGATTTTGGCATCTACCTTCAGGTCAACTCATTAACACTGTCAGTAGTCACTATCAGAAAGTTACCTCTCTTGTTTGGTCAAAGGACAGCAGACTCCTTATTTCTGGAGGGTATGACAATAATGTCAATGTTTGGGAATTCCACAGAATTGTGAAGGACCAGGCAACTGTTTCACCTTTGTACACATTTACTAACCACTCAATGCCAGTGACAGATATTTATTGCGGGTTCGGAGGATTTAAAAGTAGGTTGTTCACCTCAAGCTTGGACAATACATGCAACATTTACGATTTGTGCTCTGGGAAAATAGTTGTGTCTCTAGAATTTCCTGCTCCAATATTCAAACTCCTGGTTAGCAAATGTGAGAGTTCTGTTTACGCAGTGACTGTTTCAACAGAGGTTTACAAAGTCTCTTTAGTGTCACCCGCAGAAGCAGACGTCACCAAACAAATGAAGGTGTTTATAAAGTGCCCCAACAAAATAACTTCCTGCTGCCTAGCTGAGGAAGATTGTGCAATAATTCTAGGAAGTTCCCAAGGTGACTTGATGAAGTACAGCACCTCAACCGGACAAGTGTTACCTTTTTCATTCAAATCTAGATCGCCAGTGGATGATATTTTATCAGTCACTGTGCCTGGTTATAAAAGAAACGACAAGCCTGTCCCATTCCCTTTCCAGCAACCTCTTCAACGAGCACTGACCGGTCTTCAAGACCAGTGTTCTCTTCTTCTTAAACCTAGACATGAGCCAGTTCAGTTTGTTTCAGACTATGATTTCCTTGCTTTGGTGAAGGAAGCAGTAGAGGAAGATAAGGGGTCAGACAATGTGTCCGAGTTGAAAGACAAGGTTGGGGAGTTGACTGCACTTTCTGAAAAGTTGGTACAGTTTGCTACAGATCAGCTGATAGGCTCTTGAATTACCTCATGATATTTTATTTAACAATGGGTAGAGTCTAAATTGTTTCTGTTACTTTCAACATATTAATTTATTAATGCAATTTTACTTTTTTATGGTGGGTGGGGGGGGTGTCACGTCCGTCTATGTCCGCTTGTCTCATAGAATCCAAAAAGGACAGGACATAGGCGGACATAGGCGGACATAGGCGGACATAGACGGACATAGGCGGACATAGACGGACATAGGCGGACATAGACGGACATAGGCGGACATAGGCGGACATTAATGGACACCTAAATTGCTAAATAAAATGTTCAATTTTTGCTGTTATAGGGGGGATCATGTTTTTTGTCCGTTCGGTACCCTATATTTTCAAAACGGACAAAAAATAGAGCGGACAAAAATGGACAAAAATGGAAATAACATTTAGATGCTTCCTCCTCCTACTCTTCCTCCTCCTCCCCCTGGGTCTTCCTGATCTTCCTCAGTCCTCTTCCTCCTCCCCTCCTCAGTCCTCCTCCTACTCCTCCTCCTCGTCCTCAGTCCTCAACAGTCCTCCTCCTTCCCAGTCCTCCTCCTCCTCCTGAGTCCTCCTCCTGGGTCCTCCTCCTGGGTCCTCCTCCTCCTCTTCATCCTCCTCCTCTTCCTCCTCAGTCCTCAGTCCTCAGTCCTCCCCCAGTCCCCCTCCTCCTCCTCCTATTCAATCCTCCTCCTCCTCCTCCTCCTTCTCAGTCCTCCTCAGTCCTCCTCCTCCTCCTCCTCCTCTTCCCTCTCAGTCATCCTCCTCAGCCATCCTCCTCAGTCCTCCTCAGTCCTCCTCCTCCTGGGTCCTCCTCCTCATCCTTCTCATCAGTCCTCCTCCTCCCCAGTCCTCTCCCAGTCCCCCTCCTTCTCCTCCTCCTATTCAGTCCTTCTCCTCCTCCTCCTCCTCAGTTCTCCTCAGTCCTCCTTCTCATTTCTCCTAAGTCCTCCTCCTGAGTCCTCCTGAGTCCTCCTCCTCTTCCTTCTGAGTCCTCCTCCTGAGTCCTCTTCCTCCTCCCTCTCAGTCATCCTCCTCAGTCATCCTCCTCAGCCATCCTCCCCAGCCATCCTCCTCAGCCATCCTCCTCAGTACTCCTCAGTCCTCCTCCTTCTCAGTCATCGTCAGTCCTCCTCCTCAGTCCTCCTCAGTCCTCCTCCTCCTCCTGGGTCCTCCTCCTCCTGGGTCCTCCTGGGTCTTCCTGATCCTCCCCAGTCCTCTTCCTCCTCCCCTCCTCAGTCCTCCTCCTACTCTTCCTCCTCGCCCTCAGTCCTCCTCATCAGTCCTCAACAGTTCTCCTCCTCCCCAGTCCTCCTCCTCCTCCTGGGGCCTTTTCCTGGGTCCTCCCCCTGGGTCCTCCTCCTGGGTCCTCCTCCTGGGTCCTCCTTCTCCTCCTCAGTCCTTCTCCTCCTCCTCCTCAGTCCTCTTCCTCCTCTTCCTCCTCCTCCTCCCTCTCAGTCATCCTCCTCAGCCATCCTCCTCCTCTTCCTCCTCGGTCCTCAGTCCTCCTCCTCATCCTTCTCATCAGTCCTCCTCCTCCCCAGTCCTCTCCCAGTCCCCCTCCTTCTCCTCCTCCTATTCAGTCCTCCTCCTCCTCCTCCTCCTCAGTTCTCCTCAGTCCTCCTTCTCATTTCTCCTAAGTCCTCCTCCTGAGTCCTCCTCCTGAGTCCTCCTCCTCTTCCTTCTGAGTCCTCCTCCTGAGTCCTCCTCCTCAGCCATCCTCCCCAGCCATCCTCCTCAGCCATCCTCCTCAGTACTCCTCAGTCCTCCTCCTTCTCAGTCATCGTCAGTCCTCCTCCTCAGTCCTCCTCAGTCCTCTTCCTCCTCCTGGGTCCTCCTCCTCCTCCTCCTCCTCCTGGGTCTTCCTGATCCTCCCCAGTCCTCTTCCTCCTCAGTCCTCCTCCTACTCTTCCTCCTCGTCCTCAGTCCTCCTCATCAGTCCTCAACAGTTCTCCTCCTCCCCAGTCCTCCTCCTCCTGGGACCTTTTCCTGGGTCCTCCTCCTGGGTCCTCCTCCTGGGTCCTCCTCCTCCTGGGTCCTCCTTCTCTTCCTCAGTCCTTCTCCTCCTCCTCCTCAGTCCTCTTCCTCCTCTTCCTCCTCCTCCTCCCTCTCAGTCATCCTCCTCCCCGTGACACGTGACAATCGCACTTTCGAATGCCCAAAATCCAGTCTCACCGCACTTTCTCAGCAATCTTGATAGGGGTCTCAGTCATCCTCCTCAGTCATCCTCCTCAGCCATCCTCCCCAGCCATCCTCCTCAGCCATCCTCCTCAGTACTCCTCAGTCCTCCTCCTTCTCAGTCATCGTCAGTCCTCCTCCTCAGTCCTCCTCAGTCCTCCTCCTCCTCCTGGGTCCTCCTCCTCCTCCTCCTCCTGGGTCCTCCTGGGTCTTCCTGATCCTCCCCAGTCATCTTCCTCCTCAGTCCTCCTCCTACTCTTCCTCCTCGTCCTCAGTCCTCCTCATCAGTCCTCAACAGTTCTCCTCCTCCCCAGTCCTCCTCCTCCTCCTGGGGCCTTTTCCTGGGTCCTCCTCCTGGGTCCTCCTCCTCCTGGGTCCTCCTTCTCCTCCTCAGTCCTTCTCCTCCTCCTCCTCAGTCCTCTTCCTCCTCTTCCTCCTCTTCCTCCTCCTCCCTCTCAGTCATCCTCCTCAGTCATCCTCCTCAGCCATCCTCCTCCTTCTCAGTCCTCCTCCTGAGTCCTTCACCTCCTTAGTCATCCTCCTCAGTTCTCCTCCTCCTCCTCCTAGGTCCTCCTTCTGGGTCCTCCTCCTCCTCCCTCTCAGTCATCCTCCTCAGTCATCCTCCTCAGCCATCCTCCTCAGCCATCCTTCTCAGCCATCCTCCTCAGTACTCTTCAGTACTCTTCTGTACTTTTCAGTCCTCAAAATGTTTGTCCGCTAATGTCCACCAATGTCCGCTAATGTCCATCCAAGTCCGCCAATGTCCGTCCAGGTCCGCCAATGTCCGTCCGAGTCCGCCAATGTCCGTCCGAGTCCGCCAATGTCCGTCCGTGTCCGCCTATGTCCGTCCGTGTCCGCCTATGTCCCAAAAAACACGTCCGTTGTCTCATAGAATCCAAAAAGGACAGGACATAGGCGGACATAGACGGACATGACACCCCCCCCTGGGTGCATTTAGCCTGGTCACTGATCAGACAGTTAAAGTTGAAATATAGATTCACTGATATGTATCGACCAGTTGTGATCCAAGCAGGGTTATTTATATCCGTTGATAGTGGTATTTTTGGTATGATTTTATCATTATGTAAAATATAATATCATATTACAAGTCATATTTCACCTCGTTTTTAGCTGCTTATCATTTAAGTGTATGAAATATCGAGTCATAAGTTCTCATCACAATTTGTAAAAATCTTCGAGCGAAACAATATAGTTTTTGGTTTCTGTACTTCTCAGACGTTGATTCGTCTGGCCAGATGCCAAACTTGAAATGGTGTAAATGTACTATACAGTATACTAACCAGCAACCCCAGTAGATAATATATCAGATAATGAGTGTTGTAGAAACTGATGGGTCACGTGATCCCTTCTGTATTGGAGAACACTGTTCTGTGAAGTCGTGTGGAACCTTGGACTTCCTACCAATCACGTGCAACTTTTGTAAATTAGTAGGTACCTTCATCTGAGTCAAATCAGATAAAATCAGAAATTTAATTCAAATGTATTGATCGAATTTTCATGACTCTTTTCAGCGTCCTACCCAAATTAGTAAAATTTACAAACTCAAGTTAGATTTAAATATCTGTTATTTTATATTTCTTCGAACTTACCAAGTTACTGGTCATAAATATAACTTTGTGTCTTTATATCTCATATCTATATCTATATCTCATATCTATTGTATCAGGTGTATTGTAAAGAGCATCACGGGCCATACACACACAAATGTGAGAAAGTTCCGGAACCAGAACAGAAGTCTGATGTACAGTACGAGTCATCAAAACCTTGTCATATCTGCCAATTAACGGGTATATATGCTAATTATTTTGGAATTTATTAACTCTTGATAATATGTGCTATTTGTAGAGACCATTAGTTGACTGAAACATCTCAAAAATTAAACCTTATTCCTGAAAAGTTCTAAATTATACCTCCCAATAACACCTAACACACCCCCACTAATATCCCAGATATAGTGAACGTGGTATGTGAGGAATGTGCGAGTGTGTGCTGCATGTCACACCGTATCCTGGAGCAACACAACTGTAAAACCCTCCCCACAAACCAACCAGCCACTAAACCTCAGTTACCACCTCCCACTTCCAGTGTCAAGGGTGTGTCACTCAAGCGGAAGGGCGCTAAATCCCTTGCACTCGAGCGGAAAGTCATGGTAATGAAGATGAAGAACAAAAGTAGTGGACCAAGGTCTGTGCCACCCGAAGAGAGACAGTTTATCAACGTAACAAGAGAGACAAACAAAGAGCCGTGTTATTATCACTTTAGTAAGACGTGGAGTGTAGGACGGTGTATTGATCACGTGGCTAATCACTTGAAGATAAGGAATAATAATGATAAGGTGGGGTGTGACATGTTGGTTATGTGTTATGGTGAGGAGGTCCTGCCCATGTCGGAGATGTTGGCTAAGTTTACTGAGAGTGGGGACACGGTGATCTTGAAGTATGTGCCACAAAGTTGAAGTATGTGCCACAAAGCTGAAGTATGTGCCACAAAGTTGATGTTATGTTATGTGACTTTGTTATTTGCTCTACTGAAAACTTGACTTTATAATAGAAATGAAATATAAAACGGAGGCTAACATTTCAGAGATTTTATATATACCTTACTCGGGATTATTACGACGGGTTTATTAACGACCGGTTAAAATATGGTTCGGGAAAAATATGGCGAAATTGCTCAAAACCCACCACATTTTCCCGGTCGCCATTTTACCGGTGTCCAACCTTTCAATTTTAGATTCAAAAATTTTGTCTCAGATGTAAATTTCCTTATTAGAGATAAGCAAGTTTAGAAATTTTCGCATTGCTAAAACTTGTGAAACAAGTCGAATTATCAATAATTGTTGAAAGTAGACAGAAATAATGACTCGTGGTTAATCAAACTTCGAAAGAATGCATCGTTCACATTGTTTAGAATTATGAATAAATGACTGATGAAACTGATTCATGTTATTGACAGTTTTAATTAATTCAAGTTTTAATTTAACTGTTACTTTTACTTTGAGTCCTATTTCATTATGTAGAGATAGTCAATACCTAAGAAATTAAAAATTGGTCTATTTAAATCAACTTTGACAATAAGGATATACCTTAATTCCCAAAAATTTGGGCGACCAAAAATTTGAGCGGGCCTCTCGCCCAAATTTTTTGCAGACCAAATTTATTGCATAAATCTTTTCCGTCTGCTAAATTTTTTGCTAACCAAACTTTTGGCATTTGGCCTGTGGCCCTGAAATCTATAGAAAGATGGCTTTTTCTTCATATCCAAGTGAAATAATATTTGAAATTTTAGTTTTCTAATCTGTCATTCATGGCTTGACCAAGTAAAAAGGCTTATATTTTAAATGAATAGAAATAACTGGAATAGCTAACAGCTACTAATAAAACAAATGGCTAGAGGTACGGATAGCTAGAGATTTAATCAAGATCTGCAAATGGATTATCATCCACCGTAAAGTCTGATCTACAAGCACCGTAAAGTCTGATCTACAAGCATCAGTTATACCCGATTTCTCAAAGCCTTTCCTTATGTCATCTGGCCTCCCTTTTAAATATACAAAAAGTTCGTTGATCCAACGAGCGTGTACTTCACAGATCACTGTCAAGCGGGTATCAATTTTCACATTGTCTGATGAAACTCCTCCATTGAGCTGACACACTATGTTTTTCGCGTACCAATCTTCGTACTTATTGCGCATGAATTTCTTAGCCAGTCCATTGATAAATATGTCCAGGGGCTAAAGAGAGACTAAATATCACTATTGTATATCTATCATTTTGTACTGTGCCATCATCACTGTATTTTTTAGTAGTTACTGGGCAGATCGTAAATTTCATAATGTGAAACAACTCAGACTACCACCTACATGCTTAAAATTTAAAGCAAAATGACTGGAATAATAAGGAATAATAATGAACTAAGGCAAATATCTAACTGAAATTTTAGTGGAAAATCGTTCATTTTTCGAAGAATTTGTGCCCAAATTTTTGGTCGCCCAAATGAGTTCAAATTTTCTGCCCAAATTTTTCGGGCTCAAATAAATTGTGCTCAATATAATGGCACACAAATTTTTGGGAACTAAGGTATGACAAGAATTTGGCAAAAAGGTGAATTTTTTGCAATTTTAGCCAAATGAAGTCGAGAAACCTACAACAAGTGTCCCAATAGTCTTCTTTAGTGAATATAAGACAACGATTAAAATATGAGCACCCATACCCCTTGGGAACCCTAAAAGCTGAGTCGGCGGGTTTATTAACGACCGGTGAAAATGTGGTTCGGGAAAAATATGGCGAAATTACCCTAAACCCGCCACTTTATCCCGGTCATAATAATCCCGAGTAAGGTAATAAAGTTTCTTTAATTTAAGTAAAGTATTGGAGTGGTTTCGAAACGGAATATAATATGATTTTGGTTGATTTGATTTTATTTAAAGTTTCTTCGATTGAAGTAAACTGTGTATTAGAGTGATACAGATTCGGATTTATATAATTTGTGAATTTTTTATAAATGTTATTTGTAAGTTTGTTATACTTAATATACCTATTACTAATAGCAAATTTAATTGGAACTAAAAATGTATCTTCATTTGAAAACATATATCAGGCGTGATGCAAAAATTGGCATTAACATTGAATTGAACTTAATCAATTTATCATTGCGAATTCATCGATTTCTTTGAATGTTTTTTGAGAAATTTGTGTGATTCTTTTCACTTTTCTAACTTTCCATCGTTTTAGTGTTGAGCCACATAATGGGAGATCATCAGGCTCGAGCCGAGAACCTTCTAGCAGAAGCAGAGAAGAAGCTGACCTCAGGAGGCGGCTTCTTCAGCAAGATGATGGGTGGGGGACAGCGTAACACTGAGGATGCTATTGATATCTACGTACAAGCGGCCAATAATTTCAAGATAGCTAAGTTGTGGTGTGAGGCTGGGAACGCGTTCAAGAAGGCTGCCTCGTTGAACAGCAGTATTTCAAAGCACGAGTCTGCCAGTCAGTATGTGGAGGCTGCCACTGCGTTCAAGAAGAACAACAAGGAAGAAGCGGTAAAGTGCTTGTTGGAAGCAGTCCAAGTTTATGAGGAGCTAGGAAGATTCAGCATCGCTGCAAAGCACTACGCTTCCCTCGGTGAACTGTACGAAAGTGACGAGATACTTAACATAGAGTTAGCTGTTTCTAACTTCGAGAAGGCTGCAGACTACTACGACAGCGAAGACAGCACCAGCAACGCTAACAAGTTCAAACTGAAAGTTGCGCACTATTCAGCGCTGACTGACACACCTGTGGGGTACGAGAAAGCTGTAGCGATATACGAGGAGGTAGCAGCGCGCAGCATTGATAACAACCTCCTCAAGTGGTCTGCTAAGGAGTACTACTTCAAGTCTGTGTTGTGCACGATGTGCCTGCGCGGCGACAGTGGCCAGCTCATCCCGCGCTACGAGGAAGAATTCCCGTCGTTCATGAACACGCGGGAACATCAGCTTGTTAACGGTCTACAGGAAGCGATCAATGAGTCAAATGTGGACAGTTTTACAGTGTTAGTGCAGGAGTATGACAACATTAGTCCACTTGATAAGTGGCTCACTTCAGTTCTCCTCAAAATAAAGAAGTCTATCAATGAGGACCCGGATCTGTGTTAGTTTTTGAAGCTAAAATTGGATCTAATCAGAAACTACGGTAACTTTGGGAGACACTAGAACCGTTTTACGATCTCTGCGATGTGCTCCCTTGACGTTGCTAAGTTTGCTATCAATATCAAAAGGAGACAAATTGCTCACTGCAAGCAAAGATTTTTCAGGTTTGTTTACTAATAATAATTAGTTATTCAATAAACTAAAGTGGTATGTTAAGTTTTATTAATGCTATTTTTGCATGTTTAGTTTGCACAACTTGAAACTGTTGAATTTTAAAACTTTCGTCGCGCTGCACGTCAGGTATTTTAAGAATTCTTTTCACAATCCTTTCAATGTAAAAGTACAGAATATAAAGTTTAAAGCTCTAAAGTTTGAAAATGCAACTTTCCGTGTCAATAAAAGCATGAATATAGAAATCTGTAAAGTTTGCGATGCTTTTTTTCTATTAATTTAGCTTTAAAACATCTATTTACCTCACAGCTAAAATCTTAAATTTTCCCCTAAAAATACGGGTTTAGAGTTCTAGTGAGGCTATATGATTTAAAGTTTAATTTGGTTATAATTATAATTATTGATTTGTTTAGCGATAATTATGTTTTATGTACAATTAATTCATGAATTTGTGTCTAAATTTAATGTTAAATGTTAACTTTCCTGGCTATCTCAGAAAGACTGAGCTACTTTTTCATTGTCTCCTAATCAGGGTAGAAAATCAGTCCTTACTTCCGCTTCCGTTACCATGACAACTAAATCAGGTACACATATTAGTTAGTTATATCAAGTAGTCTGTGAGAGAATCGACACTTCGAATGTTATTGTTATGATATAAGGGCTAATTGATGCTATATTGCACACGACTAAATATAGTGGATAGTAGCACTTGCTGTCTGTTATTCATTTTATTTGTAATTGCGTAGTTCGGTAGTTCTCTCACTTTTCTAACTTTATACTCCCTCAATGTTTGTAGGAATGTAAACTCAGCACTCCTTACCCCTATAATCAGATATCCAGAAACCCTCTGCTCCAATCCCTCCTACAAAAGTCCTCCTTATTTTAATACTTAGTCAGATTTAACACAATGTCGAAGGTATTTACCCCGACGAATCAGAAACGGTTGACTAATGTGGTTGTCGTGAAGCTAAAGAAGGGCGGGAAACGGTTCGAAATAGCTTGTTACAAGAACAAGGTGGTGGCTTGGAGAAGCAAAATGTGAGTGTGGCTTAGATTCACAGATCACAGATCTCCATTGTATGAAAGGTACATACTACACATTACGTCATTACACGTGTACAACTGGTTTAGAGCTTATTTAATTAAATACATGTAACCAACTCCATGTTGAGTATTTAAACAACTACGGGGAGGTGGCAAAGATTTCGTTATAAAAATGACTTTTTAATAGATTTCCTAATAGATTGAAGCACTACCTTAATTTTTCTCAGACCCACTAACAAGGGGTCGTTCACATATTAGGTAATCACTGAAGGGGGAGGGGGTTTCCAAATGATTATGCTAGTGGTATTTTGACGAATAGCCTAGCTATGCGTAAAACTGATAACGGAGGGGGAGTTAAAAAAGTGATTATGTAATATTATGTGAATTGTGAACCCTAATGAACTTTTTAAGGCCTTCCTAGCTCTCGACTTTTTTTAAAAGAATACCTATTTGTAAACATGCTGTAAACATACAGTAAACATGCTGTAAACATACTGTAAACATGCTGTAAACATGCTGTAAACATGTTGCTATTTCCCAGAGAGAAGAACCTGGAAGAAGTTGTACAGACCGAGACAGTATTTACAAACGTGTCGCGCGGGGAGGTGGCTAAAGCTGTTGATCTTAAGAAGGCCTTTAACACGGAAGATATGACCGCTATCTGTGTTCAGGTTCCAGTATCTAACTAATAATCCCAGAATGTGTGTTTTCTGTCTGTCTGTCTGTTTGTAATTTCCGAGCGGCTTAATCAAGAAAACGGTAAGAGTTGCGGGACTGATTTTTTCGGTAAAGTGCCGACAAAACTCTGACGAAGTTAAATGATAAAGGTTTTTTAAATCGGTCGTTGGTAAGTGGTTTAATTTATGGTTTTGTACCACAAATATTACATAAAATAGCTTGAGCAGAACGGTAAGAGTTACGGGGCTCGCATATGTAGCTGCATAATTAGTGTAATTGAGTTACCCGGGTAAGATTCGCTGTCTATACTATAATCTCATTAGGGGAGGGGGCACTGTTTGGACTGCAGAGAGAGAGAGTTCATACTTTCATACGACAATGTTATGCGTGTTCACAAATATGATAGGCGGGTGTTGATTATTGTTTAAGATACTATTACTATTGTTTAAGATACCATTGGATACGTGAGGGCACTCCGAATAGAATTGCTCACCTAATGCGGGTTTTGACTCAACGGGTAAATGCTCCTACCCTTTTTAACTGCGGCAGTGAAATCCCGGCCGAAGGCCGGGTTACACTAGTACCAGTATAATACCAGTATACAGTATACCAGTATTCTCTTATATACCAGTATGCAGTATTCTTCATACTTTTTGTTCGACTATGAGCCGAACAGGATCAGGATAATCCCGCAGAATCCGGCTTTTAATTTGTAATTTCTTCAGATTTTAGAGAAAGGGGAGTTCCAGCTGTCAGAGAAAGAACGCTCCACAGCTCTCAGTTCCAAATATACAGAAATAGCAGCCAACATTTCAACAATGTGCATCAACCCCTCCACTCAGCGCCCATATCCTGTCTCCTTAGTGGAGAAGGCTATGAAAGATGCTCACATAAGCGTTAAACCGAACAGGTCCGCTAAACAGCAGGTAATTTGTAGCAGGTAATAGCAGGTAATTTGTAGTTTTAGGTGCTTTTAGAAACTTATTCTTTCAATTTTTTGTACAATTTGAAAGCTGTACGATGTTTGTTCGTCTTCAATAATTTCACACGGCTATGTAGTATGTAATATGTATGATCAGATTAGTTATTTTAGGCGTTGGAGGTTATTCAAGTACTGAAAGAAACAATACCGATTGAAAGAGTGAAAATGAAAATTAAGATCTCAATGACGATGTCAGATGCAAAGAAATGTAAAGATCAGATCAAGGCCCTGTTTCTATCAATCATCTCTGAGGATCACGACGGGCAATTTGAATTGGTAAGAAATTCGCGTAAATAACATGGCCGGTGTCATTTTTAATTTTGTCCTAATTATTAAGATTGAAATTTCAACGGTCAATATTCCAAAAGAAGGCCACGGTGGGATTCGAACCCACGCCCCGGAGGACCAGTGCCTTAAACTGGCGCCTTAGACCGCTCGGCCACGTGACCATGCTGCTAAGATATACTTTCCTAAGAAATCCTGTCAATATTGCATGTACCATCCGCGCCACTTCAAATATTTTTGTATGCATATTCTAAATGGTGATGAAGTTCCGTCGAGTAACAGCAGTCAGAATCTATTAACATATTACATCTTAGCTACATGGTCACGTGGCCGAGCGGTCTAAGGCGCCAGTTTAAGGCACTGGTCCTCCGGGGCGTGGGTTCGAATCCCACCGTGGCCTTCTTTTGGAATGTTGATCTTATAATATTTTTTAGTTATATTTGTTACTAAATTCCTGAAAGTACCTTAATTTTAATTGACATGAGTCGTTAGTCAACTGTGTTCAACAGTAGTATCTTCTTATTGAACTACAAAGTTACTAATTATCGTTACAGTACTAATTACTAATCACTATAACCCTTTACTTTACAGCTGGGTTTATCAGAGCCGGGTCATTACAAACAGTTGGCAGAACTTGTGGGGAAAAACTCCAGAGGAAAAGGAATGTGCGAGGTGATCGGAGTTGAAGAGGCTGCCGAAAACGCTGTTTTTAAAAATTGAATCATGAACGGTTAAAATGCTTGGTTTTTATATTTAAATTTTTTGTGACAAACTTATATCGTATTTTCAATGAATCTAAATTTTCAACAATTCTCCTCCATTTGAAATACTGTTTGAATTTTTCAATGGCGATATAACTAATGTTGATTAAGGCACATTATTACGTATGTCGCAATATAATAGAAAGGTTCTACTAAAGGAGAAAATGGAACGCGCGAGCTAATTTCTGCTGATTATAAACGCGCTGACCACGTGAGTTCTTGATCGATCAACGCGCGCGCGCGCCAATATCACGAGGTAGCTTATTAACCGGATCGACCTGCTCAATTTTACGTATATAATTTATTGACAAGTATTTGTGACAATCGACACGTCAGTCTGACTTGAACTTCATGGTACTAGCAAGTAGCAAGCTAGCTGTTTCGTATTGCGGACTAGGTGAGGAGGGGCGTTGGGTTAAATTCAGATTGGAAACAGGTTAGATGGGCCCGCTATATGAGATAACAGCTCATGATTGGTGACATCATATCACAATGACAACTTGTAAAGCTCCGTCATGTACAGCGTAGCCGTTTACGCTAGATTTTCAGGCGTTTTTATTCAGACAAATTGCACAAAATGAAGGGATACAGGGAGGCGATGCTGTAAAATACAAGCTATTGTTCCAAAACCACTCCCAAGGTTTACCAACGTATTTAGTACTGCTAAAATACCCCAGAAATAGTACAGCTAAAAGTTATCTTGAAAAGGAAAACCGCAATTTAAGATTAACCTTTCGAAAGGGAAAAGAAATCATAACTAAAACAACATATTGCTATAAATCAATATTAAAAGTGTATAGTAATAGTAAAACAAATCACTTTATTTTATCGTGAAATTAAATTTATAAAACGGAAGGCTGCTAATTGTACGCTCAAAAGAAAAGCAGCAACATTCTCCATTTTTTTGTGGTCAAAGAGTTACATACTATTATGATTAAAACGGTTCTCTGTGAATTACGTCAAGAAATGATAATAATTTTCAAAATAAAATCGGATCACTGAACAAAAGGTTTTGCCTCTTCTAAGAGTTTCTGAACTTGAACGAAAGTAGGTCTGTCGCTAGGTCGACTTTTCCAGCATTTCAACATTATCTGATACATCTGGTCCGGGCAATTTTCTGGTTTCTCCATGCGATAACCACCGTTTACTTTGTCTAACACATCGTTCAGAGGCTGCAGATTAACAGCAGATTAGTGATTTAGCTCATAGTATATCTTTGCGACGGTTTCAAGTTTAATACAGATGTAAATCTAAATGTCTCAAAACTGGTCCGAAAAGTCCAAAAAGCGCCATAAAAACTGAAGTGGTACTTACGATTCGAGGATAAGGAACTCTCCCAAAAGAGTAGATTTCCCAGAGTAGGACACCGTAACTCCAAACATCACTTTTCGGGGTAAAATCCTGGGAATTGTCAGATGATAAAAACATCTTACAGCTTCTCTATTTTATACCTATATTGCTACAGGCTACTAAGTAACCGTTCAATTACAAGACGAAGGATCTCATAATATCAGTGACGGTTAAGGTAGCCCCTAGCCTGTACTAAACTCGCTACGCTACATCAGTGTACCTCCTAATTTAAACATGTTATTTCGACTAAATGGACCGCGGGGGCTGCAACTTTTGATATGACAGGCAACGCCTTAACCAACCAGATGTCAACTGAAGTGAACTGACCAAATCGCTAGAATTAGAAGAATAGAAACTATAAAATTTATAACCGGATTTAATAAACCCTCGAATGTTGACGCAGACTTTATCAAAGCAATCGAGCTATTAGAGGATCCAGAAAGAGGCATTATTAACCTTAGTATCTTGGCACATGCTACTTTTAACCAGAAAGTTTGTAATTAAATAGACTATTAGCATGTGCGGTGAGCCGCTAAGTTGGTTGGAACGTACTGCACACCTTCTTTTAAAACAAAATGGAGATTAGCAAGCTATTGCATAAGGGCCTCATCGCTTCCCCGTACAACGAATCTCGTAGCTGATCTCTGATCTCCATAACAATACCATTTGTATGCATACTGATAACGTCTCCCGGTCAGTGGTCACTTCCTTTCGCGGCCACATTCAGATCCACCATGCTGCGCGCACGCGTAGATGTGCAAAATTTCAAAAACTACCATCAACTAGAGGTTTTGCGTGCTACGTCGATCGAAACCCAAATTTCTTCCTTAAACCCAGTAGCGCGGTACTATCTTTACTCGCAGCTTATCTATTCATGTCGAGTGCTTAGTCAACAATTTACTGGGGCATAGCTTAAAATCCTAGAAGAGGTTTCCGCATCTCATTTAAACACATACATCATCATGCGTGGAATAGCTTGCAACCATGTCCAGATTACATAATATATTCAGTGGTAGTGTAAATCTGCGCGGCAAATAGGAAGTACTTTAAGTTGGAATTATATACACTGTTAAGTCAGTAGCGTACAGAGTACACACTCAATATCATGTTTTAGATCACGACACACAGACGCGTAGGTGAGTGTGTACTCAAACGTTGAGATCATTTCAGTGTAAAATTGTGAGCAAAGGAAAAACATTGATCGTAAGAGCTGATGATATCACTCACAACAAAAAGCTACTTCTACTACTACTCACTACTTTCAAGTTAGATATCGGTGAGATATTACCAAAACTTACATTATTATCTTTCAAAGCTTCGGGGGCGCTCCACTTAACCCGGAACTTTCCGCCCGCCTTGATTTGTTCAATTCTCCCCGACAGACCAAAGTCAGAGACCTTAGCGATGGCGTCATCGTTCAAAAGAACATTGGCTGCAGCCAAATCTCTGTAAATAACATTCACAGTGATTTTTCATCTTTAAATGTTACCCGCAGTGAAATTAATATGGTTGAAACTAACAAAATCAATCTAGTCTGATAATACTAAGAAACAATGAAATTAAGAAGTTGGCAATTAATGAACATTTAAGACCGGGAAATTTCGATAAGGGGCATTTTTCGAATCAAAAGAATCAAGAAATGATGAAATTTTCGAGGCCCATTCCTTAATTTCCTGTAGTCTAAGACTTTGTGGTAAGAAATACTAAGCACCTTATCGAAGAAACAGGAAACAAACTTACCTGTGTATCACTGATTTTGACTCGAGGTAGACCATAGCTTTGGAAACGTGCCAACTAAAGTGAAACTGGTCCGACCACTTGATAACAGACCTGCCACGTGACCTCAGATAATCAGTCAGCGAACCCTGAATCGAAAGGGAAACTCTTATTGTGGAGTCAGATTTACAATAGAAAGTGCTACAGTTACAGGATTAGAGACACATTGTTAAGAGCAAACTTTACACGCAGGATGAGTAACTCATGATGTACTTGGCGAGGTTAAGTTACTTTATTATGTTGTCAGATGTATAATTATTATAAGTAACATTATGTGTTGTATATTATGTTACAGTATGTGTGGTGTATACTTTATCTGTAATAACTAAGTATATATCATTGACAGCCTAACTACTGCACTTGTAAGGTGTTGCCAATAAAGTCATCCGTTAAATTGCTCTTCCTAGCTTTTTCATCCGTATAAGTTGTAAAAAGTAACGCACGGATTAAATATCTCGGCCCGGGCGCGGGCATCATTAATTAACATCAGACCTATAAATACGAGTTTCAGATATTTCTGATTCAGGAATCCTAAAAACGTGTCTTTTCCTCAAACGAAATGATGCAAATATATACATAGTCTTTATATAATATATAGGTTATATATATCACTACGCAGTGTGTATTATTATGAGTTACTATTACAGCTAGCCGTGATGCACAGTGTAGACTCAAGTTATAAAGTGTATAGAACCACATGATAATAACATTTTGTGTACATACTTGGTTTACATTCTCTATCAGATACTCTCATTTCTGGTATGTTGTACAATGCTACTAGTTACCATGGTTACTCCACTGTCTACCTTACAATAACACCTAAAATCATTGAAATATGCATCGTATATTAGCACTAATTAATAATGTAAATAAATAAATTAATTATGTCTGAGTTAGTATTATGTAGATGGAAGGCAGTTTTTTAGACCACCAACTCAATAAACGATCTGTATTCCAGAAGAGCAATGATGGAGTGATTGCGTGTGTAGATATTCCAACAGTGGTGGCCGGGTAATGTAAAGCGGGAAAATAATACTTTATCCTTCACTCTCTATTAGGGTGCGTGAGTTCACACTCTCTATTAGGGTGTGTGAGTTCACACTCTCTATTAGGGTGTGTGAGTTCACACTCTCTATTAGGATGTGTGAGTTCACACTCTCTATTAGGGTGTGTGAGTTCACACTCTCTATTAAGGTGCGTGAGTTCACACTCTCTATTAGGGTGTGTGAGTTCACACTCTCTGTTAGGGTGCGTGAGTTCACACTCTCTATTAGGGTGTGTGAGTTCACACTCTCTATTAAGGTGCGTGAGTTCACACTCTCTATTAGGGTGTGTGAGTTCACACTCTCTATTAGGGTGCGTGAGTTCACACTCTCTGTTAGGGTGTGTGAGTTCACACTCTCTATTAGGGTGTGTGAGTTCACACTCTCTGTTAGGCTGTGTGAGTTCACACTCTCTATTAGGGTGTGTGAGTTCACACTCTCTATTAGAGTGTGAGGGTTCACACTCTCTATTAGGGTGCGTGAGTTCACACTCTCTATTAGGGTGTGTGAGTTCACACTCTCTATTAGGGTGTGTGAGTTCACACTCTCTATTAGGGTGTGTGAGTTCACACTCTCTATTAGGGTGTGTGAGTTCACACTCTCTATTAGGGTGTGTGAGTTCACACTTCACACTCTCTATTAGGGTGTGTGAGTTCACACTCTCTATTAGGGTGTGTGAGTTCACACTTCACACTCTCTATTAGGGTGTGTGAGTTCACACTCTCTATTAGGGTGTGTGAGTTCACACTCTCTATTAGGGTGTGTGAGTTCACACTCTCTATTAGGGTGTGTGAGTTCACACTTCACACTCTCTATTAGGGTGTGTGAGTTCACACTCTCTATTAGGGTGTGTGAGTTCACACTCTCTATTAGGGTGTGTGAGTTCACACTCTCTATTAGGGTGTGTGAGTTCACACTCTCTATTAGGGTGTGTGAGTTCACACTTCACACTCTCTATTAGGGTGTGTGAGTTCACACTCTCTATTAGGGTGCGTGAGTTCACACTCTCTATTAGGGTGTGTGAGTTCACACTCTCTATTAGGGTGCGTGAGTTCACACTCTCTATTAGGGTGTGTGAGTTCACACTCTCTATTAGGGTGTGTGAGTTCACACTCTCTATTAGGGTGCGTGAGTTCACACTCTCTATTAGGGTGTGTGAGTTCACACTCTCTATTAGGGTGTGTGAGTTCACACTCTCTATTAGGGTGCGTGAGTTCACACTCTCTATTAGGGTGTGTGAGTTCACACTCTCTATTAGGGTGTGTGAGTTCACACTCTCTATTAGGGTGTGTGGGTTCACACTCTCTATTAGAGTGTGAGGGTTCACACTCTCTATTAGGGTGTGTGAGTTCACACTCTCTATTAGGGTGTGTGAGTTCACACTCTCTATTAGGGTGTGTGAGTTCACACTCTCTATTAGGGTGTGTGAGTTCACACTCTCTATTAGGGTGTGTGAGTTCACACTCTCTATTAGGGTGTGTGAGTTCACACTTCACACTCTCTATTAGGGTGTGTGAGTTCACACTCTCTATTAGGGTGTGTGAGTTCACACTTCACACTCTCTATTAGGGTGTGTGAGTTCACACTCTCTATTAATAGGGTGTGTGAGTTCACACTCTCTATTAGGGTGTGTGAGTTCACACTCTCTATTAGGGTGTGTGAGTTCACACTTCACACTCTCTATTAGGGTGTGTGAGTTCACACTCTCTATTAGGGTGTGTGAGTTCACACTCTCTATTAGGGTGTGTGAGTTCACACTCTCTATTAGGGTGTGTGAGTTCACACTCTCTATTAGGGTGTGTGAGTTCACACTTCACACTCTCTATTAGGGTGTGTGAGTTCACACTCTCTATTAGGGTGTGTGAGTTCACACTCTCTATTAGGGTGTGAGTTCACACTCTCTATTAGGGTGTGTGAGTTCACACTCTCTATTAGGGTGCGTGAGTTCACACTCTCTATTAGGGTGCGTGAGTTCACAATCTCTATTAGGGTGCGTGAGTTCACACTCTCTATTAGGGTGCGTGAGTTCACACTCTCTTTAGGGTGTGTGAGTTCACACTCTATTAGGGTGTGTGAGTTCACACTCTCTATTAGAGTGTGTGAGTTCACACTCTCTATTAGGGTGTGTGAGTTCACACTCTCTGTTACGGTGTGTGAGTTCACACTCTCTATTAGGGTGTGTGAGTTCACACTCTCTATTAGGGTGTGTCAGTTCACACTCTCTATTAGGGTGTGTGAGTTCACACTCTCTATTAGGGTGTGTCAGTTCACACTCTCTGTTAGGGTGTGTGAGTTCACACTCTCTGTTAGGGTGTGTGAGTTCACACTCTCTATTAGGGTGTGTCAGTTCACACTCTCTATTAGGGTGTGTGAGTTCACACTCTCTATTAGGGTGTGTCAGTTCACACTCTCTGTTAGGGTGTGTCAGTTCACACTCTCTGTTAGGGTGTGTGAGTTCACACTCTCTATTAGGGTGTGTGAGTTCACACTCTCTATTAGGGTGTGTGAGTTCACACTCTCTATTAGGGTGCGTGAGTTCACACTCTCTGTTAGGGTGTGTCAGTTCACACTCTCTATTAGGGTGTGTGAGTTCACACTCTCTATTAGGGTGTGTCAGTTCACACTCTCTGTTACGGTGTGTGAGTTCACACTCTCTATTAGGGTGTGTGAGTTCACACTCTCTATTAGGGTGTGTGAGTTCACACTCTCTATTAGGGTGTGTCAGTTCACACTCTCTATTAGGGTGTGTGAGTTCACACTCTCTATTAGGGTGTGTCAGTTCACACTCTCTGTTAGGGTGTGTGAGTTCACACTCTCTATTAGGGTGTGTGAGTTCACACTCTCTATTAGGGTGCGTGAGTTCACACTCTCTATTAGGGTGTGTGAGTTCACACTCTCTATTAGGGTGTGTGAGTTCACACTCTCTATTAGGGTGCGTGAGTTCACACTCTCTATTAGGGTGTGTGAGTTCACACTCTCTATTAGGGTGTGTGAGTTCACACTCTCTATTAGGGTGCGTGAGTTCACACTCTCTATTAGGGTGTGTGAGTTCACACTCTCTATTAGGGTGTGTGAGTTCACACTCTCTATTAGGGTGTGTGGGTTCACACTCTCTATTAGAGTGTGAGGGTTCACACTCTCTATTAGGGTGTGTGAGTTCACACTCTCTATTAGGGTGTGTGAGTTCACACTCTCTATTAGGGTGTGTGAGTTCACACTCTCTATTAGGGTGTGTGAGTTCACACTCTCTATTAGGGTGTGTGAGTTCACACTCTCTATTAGGGTGTGTGAGTTCACACTTCACACTCTCTATTAGGGTGTGTGAGTTCACACTCTCTATTAGGGTGTGTGAGTTCACACTTCACACTCTCTATTAGGGTGTGTGAGTTCACACTCTCTATTAGGGTGTGTGAGTTCACACTCTCTATTAGGGTGTGTGAGTTCACACTCTCTATTAGGGTGTGTGAGTTCACACTTCACACTCTCTATTAGGGTGTGTGAGTTCACACTCTCTATTAGGGTGTGTGAGTTCACACTCTCTATTAGGGTGTGTGAGTTCACACTCTCTATTAGGGTGTGTGAGTTCACACTCTCTATTAGGGTGTGTGAGTTCACACTTCACACTCTCTATTAGGGTGTGTGAGTTCACACTCTCTATTAGGGTGTGTGAGTTCACACTCTCTATTAGGGTGTGAGTTCACACTCTCTATTAGGGTGTGTGAGTTCACACTCTCTATTAGGGTGCGTGAGTTCACACTCTCTATTAGGGTGCGTGAGTTCACACTCTCTATTAGGGTGCGTGAGTTCACACTCTCTATTAGGGTGCGTGAGTTCACACTCTCTTTAGGGTGTGTGAGTTCACACTCTATTAGGGTGTGTGAGTTCACACTCTCTATTAGAGTGTGTGAGTTCACACTCTCTATTAGGGTGTGTGAGTTCACACTCTCTGTTACGGTGTGTGAGTTCACACTCTCTATTAGGGTGTGTGAGTTCACACTCTCTATTAGGGTGTGTCAGTTCACACTCTCTATTAGGGTGTGTGAGTTCACACTCTCTATTAGGGTGTGTCAGTTCACACTCTCTGTTAGGGTGTGTGAGTTCACACTCTCTGTTAGGGTGTGTGAGTTCACACTCTCTATTAGGGTGTGTCAGTTCACACTCTCTATTAGGGTGTGTGAGTTCACACTCTCTATTAGGGTGTGTCAGTTCACACTCTCTGTTAGGGTGTGTCAGTTCACACTCTCTGTTAGGGTGTGTGAGTTCACACTCTCTATTAGGGTGTGTGAGTTCACACTCTCTATTAGGGTGTGTGAGTTCACACTCTCTATTAGGGTGTGTGAGTTCACACTCTCTATTAGGGTGCGTGAGTTCACACTCTCTGTTAGGGTGTGTCAGTTCACACTCTCTATTAGGGTGTGTGAGTTCACACTCTCTATTAGGGTGTGTCAGTTCACACTCTCTGTTACGGTGTGTGAGTTCACACTCTCTATTAGGGTGTGTGAGTTCACACTCTCTATTAGGGTGTGTCAGTTCACACTCTCTATTAGGGTGTGTGAGTTCACACTCTCTGTTAGGGTGTGTCAGTTCACACTCTCTGTTAGGGTGTGTCAGTTCACACTCTCTGTTAGGGTGTGTGAGTTCACACTCTCTGTTAGGGTGTGTGAGTTCACACTCTCTATTAGGGTGCGTGAGTTCACACTCTCTATTAGGGTGTGCGAGTTCACACTCTCTATTAGGGTGCGTGAGTTCACACTCTCTATTAGGGTGCGTGAGTTCACACTCTCTATTAGGGTGCGTGAGTTCACACTCTCTATTAGGGTGTGTGAGTTCACACTCTCTGTTAGGGTGTGTGAGTTCGCACTCTCTGTTAGGGTGTGTGAGTTCGCACTCTCTATTAGGGTGTGTGAGTTCACACTCTCTATTAGGGTGTGTGAGTTCACACTCTCTGTTACGGTGTGTGAGTTCACACTCTCTATTAGGGTGTGTGAGTTCACACTCTCTATTAGGGTGTGTGAGTTCACACTCTCTGTTAGGGTGTGTGAGTTCACACTCTCTATTAGGGTGTGTGAGTTCACACTTCACACTCTCTATTAGGGTGTGTGAGTTCACACTCTCTATTAGGGTGTGTGAGTTCACACTCTCTATTAGGGTGTGTGAGTTCACACTCTCTATTATGGTGTGAGTTCACACTCTCTATTAGGGTGTGAGTTCACACTCTCTATTAGGGTGTGTGAGTTCACACTCTCTATTAGGGTGCGTGAGTTCACACTCTCTATTAGGGTGCGTGAGTTCACACTCTCTATTAGGGTGCGTGAGTTCACACTCTCTATTAGGGTGCGTGAGTTCACACTCTCTTTAGGGTGTGTGAGTTCACACTCTCTATTAGGGTGTGTGAGTTCACACTCTCTATTAGGGTGTGTGAGTTCACACTCTCTATTAGGGTGTGTGAGTTCACACTCTCTGTTACGGTGTGTGAGTTCACACTCTCTATTAGGGTGTGTGAGTTCACACTCTCTGTTAGGGTGTGTGAGTTCACACTCTCTATTAGGGTGTGTGAGTTCACACTCTCTATTAGGGTGCGTGAGTTCACACTCTCTGTTAGGGTGTGTGAGTTCACACTCTCTATTAGGGTGTGTGAGTTCACACTCTCTATTAGGGTGCGTGAGTTCACACTCTCTGTTAGGGTGTGCGAGTTCACACACTCTCTATTAGGGTGTGTGAGTTCACACTCTCTATTAGGGTGTGTGAGTTCACACTCTCTATTAGGGTGCGTGAGTTCACACTCTCTATTAGGGTGTGTGAGTTCACACTCTCTGTTAGGGTGTGCGAGTTCACACACTTTCTATTAGGGTGTGTGAGTTCACACTCTCTATTAGGGTGCGTGAGTTCACACTCTCTATTAGGGTGTGTCAGTTCACACTCTCTGTTACGGTGTGTGAGTTCACACTCTCTGTTACGGTGTGTGAGTTCACACTCTCTGTTACGGTGTGTGAGTTCACACTCTCTATTAGGGTGTGTGAGTTCACACTCTCTGTTAGGGTGTGTGAGTTCACACTCTCTATTAGGGTGCGTGAGTTCACACTCTCTATTAGGGTGTGTGAGTTCACACTCTCTATTAGGGTGCGTGAGTTCACACTCTCTATTAGGGTGTGTGAGTTCACACTCTCTGTTACGGTGTGTGAGTTCACACTCTCTGTTACGGTGTGTGAGTTCACACTCTCTATTAGGGTGCGTGAGTTCACACTCTCTGTTACTCTGTTAGGCTGTGTGAGTTCACACTCTCTGTTAGGGTGCGTGAGTTCACACTCTCTATTAGGGTGTGTGAGTTCACACTCTCTTTAGGGTGCGTGAGTTCACACTCTCTATTAGGGTGTGTGAGTTCACACTCTCTGTTAGGCTGTGTGAGTTCACACTCTCTATTAGGGTGCGTGAGTTCACACTCTCTGTTAGGGTGTGTGAGTTCACACTCTCTGTTAGGGTGTGTGAGTTCACACTCTCTATTAGGGTGTGTGAGTTCACACTCTCTATTAGGGTGCGTGAGTTCACACTCTCTATTAGGGTGCGTGAGTTCACACTCTCTATTAGGGTGTGTGAGTTCACACTCTCTTTAGGGTGCGTGAGTTCACACTCTCTATTAGGGTGTGTGAGTTCACACTCTCTGTTAGGCTGTGTGAGTTCACACTCTCTATTAGGGTGCGTGAGTTCACACTCTCTATTAGGGTGCGTGAGTTCACACTCTCTATTAGGGTGCGTGAGTTCACACTCTCTATTAGGGTGTGTGAGTTCACACTCTCTGTTACGGTGTGTGAGTTCACACTCTCTGTTACGGTGTGTGAGTTCACACTCTCTATTAGGGTGCGTGAGTTCACACTCTCTGTTAGGCTGTGTGAGTTCACAGTCTCTGTTAGGGTGCGTGAGTTCACACTCTCTATTAGGGTGTGTGAGTTCACACTCTCTGTTAGGGTGCGTGAGTTCACACTCTCTATTAGGGTGTGTGAGTTCACACTCTCTATTAGGGTGTGTGAGTTCACACTCTCTATTAGGGTGTGTGAGTTCACACTCTCTATTATGGTGTGTGAGTTCACACCCTTATCTCTATTAGGGTGTGTGAGTTCACACCCTTATCTCTATTAGAGTTCCTATGTGCTTCACTCAAACATCTCAAGTATGTTGAAGAAATATATTACTCTAGCAGTGGAAACATCACTCTATAGGTTTTATTAGAGGTTTATGGAGAGAACTGGGTGATGTTGTGAGAATAAATACTACTAGTTCGTAAAAAACACAAGAATTAAGTTCATGTCAAAAAATGGAGTAAAAGAGGTATGAACGTCAAGAATTTTTAAAATGTAATAACATTCCCAAAATTTCATTGAAGCAGTTAAATTGTGCTTTAAGTTAAATCCACTCTTAAACCAGTGCAGCAAACTATACCCGACATATTTTCATCTCTCAGTGGTCAACTAAGTTAAGGATTCATTCCTGAAAATTTAAATACTGAAGTCCTGCATGTAGTATTAAGCTTCAGATTAAATTCCTTGATAAATATGTGAGAGATGGATTAATGAAATATTTTAAAGTTTTAAAAACCTCTCTGCTCTCTCTAGTCAACAAATCTACAGTTGAACCACAAAAAATTACGACTAAAATTCCTGGAATTGTTGTTAGGACATGTTCTGTGGGTAGGCCACTGTTTCACAACACGGTGATTATCACTATGTACACAACAATTCACACTTTACAACGTGCATTCCTTCCAGCTACTCAGAGAAAAGAAGAATTACTGTGATTTTGGTTTCAGTCTTACAGAATTGCAAGTAGCGCCACACCCTGTCACACCGTTTCAAATCACAAGTAACAAACCATATAAACTTCTCATTTTACACATACCTTAGCTACGCGACGTGTTATATGACGGGTGACACATACCTTAGCCATAAACTCTGTGACGATGTAGATGGGAAGCGGGGAGAGTTTTACTCCTAACAGTTGCACCAAGTTTTCGTGCCGCAGATTCCTGGTGACATGTTTGGGATCAAAAGACAAAATACAGTCTCAAGACAAATATTCAAACACTGGGCAAATGTTCATTTAATTGTTCATATACCATTTCACGGATATTCATTGCCAAACGATCATCTCCGAATATAATATTATGATTACTAATCAAACAGTGAAGATAAGAAATTACGACTGGTCCAGCCGAACTTATGTAATCTGAGTAATACGAGTAATCCGAGTTGAAATATTACGTCATTGAGGAAGCCTCAACCAGGAAATCGTCCATATTCTTAGCTTCCCTCAGAGTTTTTATAGCAACCGGTTTCCCGTTCAGTACTCCCTTGTAAACCACTGAGGAAGTAATAGTTTGTGTTAATGATTACCTGAACTCCCTTGTAGACCACTGAGAAATAGTTTGTGTTAATGATTACCTGCACTGCTTCATAGTTCCAACTTACAAAGAGATTTTAGTATATAGCAATGCAAGGTTACAAATTGTAACTTTAAAATCTACACAGATAAGTTTTATGGTAAAATTACTTGACCCTAAACTCCATTGCATGACCGAAACCATGGAGACATATACAAATTACAGAACATGGAGGTGGTCTTGAAGTTTTAAATTACACCCTGGCAAGCGCCCAGGTTAGTTCTTACCTCCAAATTCGCCACTTCCGATCTCCTCCTTAACATCGATCTCGTGTTGATTTATAACCCAGCCCGCTGAGGGAGAGATAGTTATTTTTAATATTACTTAATACAATATGTTACTATGTTACTATATTTAAAAGACGAAGTATTAAAAGTGCTATTAAGTTACTAGTATCGCTGTTTGTGGACAGTACATAATAGAGCAGATGATAAAGACACACACACACATATATATATATGTGTATATTGTACATTGTATATTGAGTCCAGTACTTTATATAATACACCATTATACTGTAGCTAATGACAAACTTGTTTTAAGATTACTTACATTCCGCAAAGGCCTTCTGGTCGACACAGAATTCTTTCTGTCCCTCTTTCTCGACCGGTCTCCTCAGTTCACAAACTAGGCCATCTTTATCATTCGAGTAATGCTGAAATAGAACATCTTTATCAGCCGAGTAATGCTAAAATAGAACATCTTTATCAGCCGAGTTTCAATGATGAAAAAGACATCTTTACAAGATGATTAATAATCACTAATCAGATTACTAGTATATTCGATTACATATAGAATTATAACTAGGCAATCCTTATACGGTGATCGTGCTCCTAATTATTCCGATATTTCATGTGTAACATGTAGGCTTGGTCAAGAGGTTTTGCTTTTGACTTTTGTGCGTTGTCACACTAAGGACACATGGCAAATTTCAGCTTAACTCTATTTGCACACTGCGAAATTCAACAAATAGTAGCTTAACACCGTGTAAATAACACGTAGGGACAGTTAAGGATCCCACTGACTATAGATTATGTAGTTACACTGGATAGTTCCGTATGGGGAAGTTGAAAACTGGGCCAAATTGTGACCATCACAAGAATGTAAGTTAAAGGAATATTGTACTGACTTCAATAAGCTCGATAAGGTTGCTGAAGAAGGTCATGTCGTCCACACTCATTCCCCTGCCATCCTTCTTAACTCTGTAGTGGTCCACACCTCCGTTATACCTGACAACTCTGTCTTAGCAAAATAAATTAAACAAAGTTTATTAAATACAATATTACAATTATATTACAAGTTCATTACAGTCGGTAGAAGCTGAATTAACACAATAAGATTACACTAAGGGGGGGGGGATGGGAGGGGGGGGGGCACTAAGGGGGCGGGGGGTACTAAGGGGGGGGGGGGCACTAAGGGGGGGGGGCACTAAGGGGGGGGGGGCACTAAGGGGGGGCACTAAGGAGGGGGGGGCACTAAGGGGAGGGGGGGGGGCGGGGGGCACTAAGTCTATTAACGAAGAGTCTTCCTTTGCACGACCATAATATAATCATCGTTTTGAGCACACAGTATTCAAAAGGATATTCCTTAAATTTCAGCCCATTTTTAAAATGTAGCATGATCTTTAATCATTTATTAATAAATTAAACGGTTAAAAAAAAGTTAAACTTTAATTTGACAAGCTGTTATCAGCATGTTATCGTACTCATATAATAGCGCTCTTATAATAAAACTCTTAGTACTAGCGCTCATGTTTGTGCTCTTATAGCAGTCGTGGTAATATTGCTGCTCGTAAAAAAGTACACCTGTTTTCAACTTTTCAACTGTCGCGAACCGTAAAATATTTGCTTTATAATTTACCAACACAACCGGACATAGCAAGGAGTGAGTTATACTACTAGTACTACTAGTAACCACTACTACTAGTAACTAGTACTACTAGTAACTAGTACTACTAATTATACCCATATTCTATGACTTAATACCAACATATTACCTAACGACAAGTCACAACATTACCAAATAAAGATTCCCTTTCACTGCGAGGATCTACAAAGCACCTAATTAACTGAGTAATTAGCTGAGTAATTAGTGAGTTAATTAGTGAGTTAATTAATGAGAGATTACTCACACAACACATAGAGTGTAGTCACCAGGAAAGTGGTTACTCTCTCTCACTAGATAGAGTCCGTCAACTCGAGGTTGTAAAACCACTTCTGCTGTTTCCCTGTCCATCTTACCGTGGAACCAACTGGAGGGTGGAGGAGGAGGTAAAATTGAGGCAAAATACATAAACCTCAAAATATGAATAAATATTAAATAGGAGATGGAAAGGCATCTCTTCGCAGCCAATTAGTTGGTATAGCGCAGATGTGCCTGCGACCTTACATTTTAGGAAGGCAGCACAAACTCAAACAGAAGAAAATATCTCAACTCATTAAAGATTCAGTTTGGTTGATTCTTAGAATTCGCTTAATAAATAATTTATATACCAGCTTTAGGAGTTTGCTCTTCACAATAGCTAGCTCAGGGGCAACCCCTCCATCAACAAATGCTAGAAAATAAAGTTGGTACCATCGTTTTATAAAGGCCCCACATTGAATGAATGTACTTTAGAAAAACGGAGTACAATTTCAAACACAAGGAAATATCGAGCCCTATTTCATAAGTAATTATGGTGAACACTTCCATGTCACCGCTTGTGGGCGGACGCTATATTTCCTGATTTTTGGATGGGGCCCATAGAAGCGCAGCTCTGGGATCTCCCCTACAACAAAAGATAAATATAAAATCTCGCACTGAACATGTAAACGTTTAGTGGGAGAGGGAATAGAGGAAGCAGTAGACGGAATGTAATTGGAATATTATCGTAGAGCATCTATCATATTAGAAAGAGATAAACCTGTTATTAAAACTTACGGCATGGCCTGAAGTTGGACACCTCTAACAGCGAGCCTGTTAGTTGGTACAATACCGTCCCTTCCTTCGGAGTGTCTCGCATAGTGCCATTCTGGATCCTGAGAGAAACTAGGTTACAGTACCTATTCGTTTCTTAGGTCCAGTATTTGACTATTTTGCTCCAAACGACTTGGATATTTGATGCCTGTCAAGATAAACAATTAAAGATTTCGAAACTTAACCAAACTCCCAGCATAACGCATTTCTCTATAAACTATCTGAGATAAGCCACAACTCGAAGTTCGGTGTCATGGGTTCCAAGCAATCGGACAATATAATGGCCTTGTCAAACTTGACGCAATGGGTGGTATTACAGAGATAGGTGATATAATCAGTAACATGCAATTTCATATGAGTGGTCACTGACTCAGTGCTGTGCAAATAATAAATAATTGGATAATATGCGAATATTATTAATATCCCATGCAATTTGCTTAAAAAACTAATTATGCAAGGTTAACTAATAATGCACACATGAGCTAGCACTAGCACTGTAAAATGTCACGTGTTAGATTTAAAACTAATTTAAAACTCACATTAGAATATCGTGTTATGGTCAAGATGTCCCCCTTTTGAAAACTCAGCTCCTGAAAAAAAAACATAAGTCATTTAACAGTCGACATGGGGAATGCGTTTGATTGATGTCACTTATTATACAATACAAATTTACTGCTATACGCATTTTAAAATTCCTGAATAAGTTACCACTCTGTTAGGCTTCCTCGATGACATTTAAATGGTTGTTGAAATTCTAAGGCGGAGATTTCAAAAATGTCTATATAAAAAGATAACAGAGTAGCCGCCGAGAAATCTGCCCTACCAACGAAGCCTCATAATATTAATATCATTTTGTGGAGTTAATGGACTTTTAAACGTTAGCTACTGACGACGTTGCTCAATTTTTATTTGTTTTGATATTTTATTATAATATGTATTTTTTAATGATAAAAAAAGTGATATGTGTACATACTGTTAATTTGAATAAAATTGTACAATGTACCCGATTTTTGGTGCCACTAAAGTCATACTTTGCAACCACCTCTGAGCCTATGGGGAACACTTTTCGTTGCTGAGAAGGAATATAATTAGAATAATATTAGGAGTTATTGTTATTGACAAATTATATTAAGCAAAGAAAACGAGGCAGTAAAAGAATACGATATATTTGAAGGAAGGAATAAAGCAGAAGTTGAGAATTGGTATTAGTCCGTGTGAGCAGTTACCTGTGCCATAGTCCCCAACAGGACTCTTTACATAACTTGCTTCACAGAGTTCGAATACCTTTCTAGTGAATCAGCTAACGAATATATATCAAGTTAATATTTAAAACTAATATCAGCTATATAACAAAGGTATACCTATATAACAAAGGTATACGCTTGGACACAAAAAAGATGAAGTTACAGGGTGTTTCAAAAATCTTGCAAGAATGTACAATTTGGATAACTTCTTAACCATTTCTCTAAACTTCATCCTGTAAAAAGTTATTCTGAATTCTGTATGTTACCATGGTCATTGGCCACCATAGCACCTGCAATGAGTCCCCTAGGAACTGATGTAAATTTGTGATTTAGCACCCTCAAACTTGTTATATTTTGAGTTATAAGAGTGCGGATTGTCAGGTATTTTATTCATTCATACATAGTTGGTTTAAAGCTGTATATTTAAAACTCACTAATATTGTTGAAACTTTGAAAGCAGAACGCAAATTATGGAAATATACTGATGACAATACCATAAAAGTAAAAGTAAAGCATTTACATTTTCGGACTTTTCCGAATCCGTTTTTACCGAAGGCTCATTCACCAGTTACTCACGCTGCATGTATAGACAATATTAAAAAACAACAAAGACAAAGAACTCTCATGGGCTACTGATAAATGTATCACAATATTATTGTCGCAATATTAGAGGGGCGAGAAGCTGCACAGCTTGTCATAGGATTAAAAAGCTCTAATACATACTGTGTTTTTTTGCTGTCCAATAATTATTTGGTATTACAGGATCAAATGGAAATGGCGACGGTTTCAGTAGGTAAAATATTTAGGAATATACTTAATTGGAATACAATAGTGTGTAGTTTTGTTACACGTTCATGATCACGCTCGCTTATCTTATCTATAATTATCGCTACAATTTGTGTCTGTTGCGATACAACTCTCAGTACATTGTGGAAAATGTGGACTTATATTCTTTATTGTGGTCAAGTAAATATGTAGAATTGTTAGCAGATGCTTCTAGTGATATTGGTCTTTGGGGTGAGGAAATGATGAAGACATTAAAATGTGATGAAGATAGTGATATCACATTAGACAAGTTCAAGAAACCAAACAAGGACATTTTAGTCAAGCATGCACCTATTTGATGCATTTCAGGCATCGTCCACTATAAGCATACTTTACTATCAGCGAATAGAAATATAGAGGAAATGAAAGTGAAATGATCAATGCTCAGAAATCAATAATTTGGTTGCAAGATGAACTTCTGGACAATAGGACTAAAGAACTAGATACAGTTCAGAGAACTGTGAAAACTGCTGCAGAGAATACTATTCAAGCAGAGATTCAGTTCTACAGCGCTGTTTTGTCGAAATATTCCTCCAGCTCTGCCCCTACTTTCACAGCCAGAGAACTTGACAAACGTCGTTAGGAATGTTGTATTTAAAGAGGATTGCAGGTTTGAAGGAGACCGACAAAGGGAAGCTTTGTGAAAAAGTTGACGTGATTTTTTAGCAGATTGGAGAAAAACCACGTTTTGAAGCTGTCCGAGTTGGGAGGAAATCAGTAGACAAGACGAGATCAGTCAAAATTTCGTTAGATTATTGTAGTACCGTTCATCAGATATTACTAAAAGTTAAAAATCTGAGACAGTGCCAGGATCATACAACTGTTTTCATTTCTCCAGATCGATCACCCGAAGATCGAGCTATCCATCAACAGTTGGTCTTGGAGATGAAACAGATAGCCGAAGGACAAAGAGAACCCAAATATACATTATTATATCAGAGGTGGTAACATTCGTTCGTGTTGCGAGGATAAATTATTAGTGAGCAATATGTAATAATGATTGATGCATGATACACATCCATATAATAATAATAATAGGCCTAGGTGTGTTTTTGAATGCCAATTATAGTTTTGGTTTTAAATTTTTTTGCCGTATTAAGATATTATTCATTGACATACGTTGCATGCCACTTTTTGCGCGCCAAAGGCTGATATTTGGGATACGTAACATGTATCAAATTATTCATAAATTGAGAATCTAGTCCTTGGAGTATATTATTGCTTATTATATTGTAAAGCAAGTGTTTGTTTTAACTTTATGCTTCGATAAGATTTTTTGAGATAAAGGAATGTGCGTGCATGAAAACTTTTGCAAACAACAAAACACTATAGTTCAGTTGAATTTTTAGAGACACTGCTCATATTAGGACAAAAAGAAAATTGTCAGCGAGTAGACATTAGGAGTTTTGTTTTTAGTAGACAAAGTTTTCACCAATAACCCTCCAGGCCAGGGAGCATTCGCACTTTACAAAATGCATTGACGGATGTTCAATGTTACTCGTCTAAATTTCTTCGAAATTGCCCAAGGCAAGTGCTACGAAGTAGCTTGGAGGACTTCGACGCGCCGCGCAAACTAGCATTCTTCCTAGATCGTTGCTCTGCTTCGCAGAGCAACGATCTGGAAGGGTTGACATCGTCAATCAACGAATTAGCGCGCGCCGGGCTAGTCCATTAACAATGGACAAAAAAGTTGTAATTCAAAGTGCTGTATTGAAAAAGGACCGCAGGGCGCAGCAGGAATTTTGTTATTTTTGGTTGAAAGGAGAGTAAGACGGATGGTGAGAAAATATTAGAAAAAGTAGAAGAACTGTTCCAATAGATTGAAGTGAAACAACGCTTTGAAGCTGTTGGGATTGGAAAGAGATCAGCCGACATAACAAGACCAGACCTATCAAAATATTATTAACACATTCCATTAATTGACGATGTCACAGTGAGAAGCCTCATTGAGTGCGCGGCGTGGCACAGTAACGCATCGCGCTACAACACATTCCAAGCAATAATGTTCATGAGATTCACATACAACATAGCCATGTGTATACGCGTAATGCGGCGGTCGCGCGCTACTGCAAGCGAGAGGGTTGATTGACGATGTCAATCCGTCGAGATCGCTGCTGGTTGCTCTGCGAAGTTGTAGGTTTACAACCTACCAGAGCAACGATCGACGACGTGAAGCAAAAATGCGAAGCAAGAATGCTAGTTTGCGCGGCGCGGCGAACTCCTCCAAGCGAGACTCGAGAGGGGTCTGGTTAGAGCAATTCATGAGATATTACTGAAATCGAAGGACCTGAGACTATTAGTCAGCACCACAAAACTGTTTTCGTCATTTCTTCGGGTCGGTGACCGGACCTGAAGAGCAACCCTGCAACCCAAATACTTTACTTGATTCAATGATTCATGTTCACGATGTCAATCCTTCCCATACCAGCTCGGCGAGGCCCACTGCCGCATGTCACCGATCATTTACGGTTGCGAGAAGAATTATTTGATGCTCGGCGCGGCCCAGTAGTGCATCGCGCTACAACTCAGACACCATCTGCTCAGTGCTTTGAGTAACGATCTCGATGGGTTCGATGCGAACTAGCAAGAATGCTAGTTTGCGCGGCGCGTCGAAGTCCTCCAACTCAGTGCTCATATTTATTGGGCCGTGCTCAGCCTGTCATTCCGCTTAATCTCTATTCATGTTTGTGAACATGATAGCCTGAGGTCCCCAGGTCTATGAAGTGATGTTATTTGTTGTAAGGACAAGATCCTAGAGTAATTTAAATTATTTACGACATTGTCATATTTATTTTCGTGCTAGTCTTTTTCACTCGCCCCTTAGTATAGAGCCGCTCTGACATGGTTAGCAGCTAGTGGGACTTGTGCCGGCTGCTAACATAATTGACGATGTCAATTCATCGCAGCTCGGCGATCAGGCCCAGTAGCGCATATCGCTGATCTTCATCTAGCGAGAAGCATAATTGAGTGCGCGGTGCGGCCCAGTAACGCATCGCGCTACAAGTTACCTGGGGACCTCAGGCTATCATGTTCATAAACATAGAGATTCGGCGGAATGACAGGCTGAGCGCGGCCCAGTAAGCTACAAGCTGCTAACCATATGTAATGGGCGGGATATAAACACATTATTTCATTTCATAAATTTAGGAACTGTGAATCAATCTAACTTTTTATAAAAATTGTTATTGCTAGAGTATTTAGATAGGGACCAATATATCTTTAATCTTGGTACAATCTGCGACCTTGAGTTACCCTAGCAATAGCAATGCAACAGATCTATGACAAATCTATCCTATTCCTAAAGTCCCAGAATTCAGAAATCTGCAAGACTTTTACAATAGCAATTTTCGATTCGAAAACAATCATCTACATACGAAACAAAGTATTTATTACCCTGCTCCTAGTCCAATGTGACAAAGATATCGTAAAAGACATAACTAAATAATTTAAACAATACGGTGTCACCTAATCTATTTAAATATCAACCTAATCTTTGTTTCACATTTCAGTGGCGTAACGAAGGGCCCCGCCGACCAAAACGTCGTTTGAATGTGGGAAAATTTTGAAAATCTTAACTGAGGTACTAGAAAACTGCGCGTTTTGTTTTAGAAACACACTTTTTAAAAGATTTTACCGGTGTATCCTCTAAAATCACCTAATTTGTACAATTTTAGGGAAGGACGCCCAAAGGGGAGGGGGGCGCCAACAGGCGACGTTACACCACTCCTTGTTCATTGTTTGAGTGGCGACTGCCTTGTTTGAAACAATTTAACTCTAACATGCCATGCACATAATTAAAGAACTAGATACTGGTACTGGTGAACCATATTTTTTCTGAAACGTGACAGTAATTAACCAATTAACGTGACAGTAATTAACCAATTGGCTTTCAATTTCAGCATTAACCGATGAATACCTGGAATCAAAAATTATTTGAAATATCCAAACAAATATGGATCACCTCCCCACCTTCACCAGTATCGAGATCTTCAGTCAGCCTATACTTACAGTGGATGAAGAACTGAAGACTTTCAAATGAACAGGCAGAAACAAAAAGCTTTTTCTCAATTGTTATGATAAGTTGTTGTTCATCCATCTGTTTTGTGTCAAGGGCCAATGTTTAATCTCAATGTTTTGTAGGCCCTTGTTACTTCATGGAGGGCAGTACTTCTGTTCAGTGTTCTGTGTAATTTCCAAAGATTTATTTCTAGATAAAAATCAAACCCGTTCCCGGCTAAAACTTTCCTAAGATTAAAACATCCTCCTTAAAACATATTTATTCTCCGTCAGACCGATCCACTCCGTTCTTCTCCTCGGCCTGCAGAAGATCTTTAACTGTTATTTTCTCTTCAGGATACGTGTCGTTTATCCAGGCTGGATCGTATCTGAAGTATCATTACTTTGGTTAGTTAAAGGATCATTCACATACCATATAACACAACCTTACCCCATATCTGATATTCCACCTTATATCTTCAGGGCAAATAAACAAAGGGCCGGGTAGTGTTGACTGACCTGGACTCAGGGTAAATAAACAAAGGGCCGGGTAGTGTTGACTGACCTGGACTCAGGGCAAATAAACAAAGGGCCGGGTAGTGTTGAATAAACAAAGGGCCGGGTAGTGTTGACTGACCTGGACTCAGGGCAAATAAACAAAGGGCCGGGTAGTGTTGACTGACCTGGACTCAGGGCAAATAAACAAAGGGCCGGGTAGTGTTGACTGACCTGGACTGCTCCATGACCACGTTGGTGAGAGACATGGTGAGTTGTCTGGGAGAGTCCTCCTCGGGTTCATACACGGCACTGTTCTGATGATGATCCGCTAGGTTCAGGAAAGGAAGGTTGTGATGCAACATGAACAGGCCCGGCTCTCCGAACCTACTCCACACAGTCATTTCTCTGATGATATTATTTTCAGTGTATATATAAAGTCTCCCGACGTATTATGATGTTATTATAGACTCGATTATTGGCTTTAAGAGTTGATCTACCCTACTTTTAGAAACGTATCAGTAAATTAGTTTGTACGATCAACCACATCATGATATCATGGGCAATGCAATCCCCGTTCCTGTTAATTAATACGATTGTAGATTGCGAGACATTTCTCAGTAACATTTCTCGCTCCCTAAGGCCTAACGACATACCTAAGATTTTTGCAGTGTCTAATGAGAGCGAAAATGCTTCTGTATGAGATGCCAGACTGACTAAAATGAAACTCCTCCAGTCTGCCTTTGTGAGCTAGAGTCTCCACTGCATCGTCCAGGTTTGTGAACAGGTACCGTTGGTACCGGTCCTGTCGACCTGCGAACCCCAGCAAGTGAAGTACTCTGAGGTTGTCAAGTTGGGCCAGCGAGCTCATGGTGCCACTATCAAGGATCATGTAATCGTCCCCTGTTGATCTGCTATCCATCGTCTTCCTGTAAACGTCATAGTTTTAGTATCTAACTTATGAATGATTGTGATGCTATCGCTAAAGTTTTATCGATTACATGATTCATGACCACTTGGCACAGACCACAGCTCTTGCTTTACGAATAATGAACAGGAGTGAGATAAGAATTGATATTTTCGGAGCTTATTCTATAGTGATGTTCAATCTACAATCAATATTATAATTTCTGAGGCAATCTTCATATTACTAATCTCAAAATGTATCTTTAAATTTACTTGATCTTAAGAGATTCGAGCTGGGGAACAACAACGGGGAGAGACTTAATGAAATGAAGCGGCTCCGTCAATACCCCGGCACCATCCACTATTTCAAGATGAGTTAACCCACTCCACTTAGCGAACACCTGGACAAAATGGGTCACTATCTACCTGTACTATCTAGTAATAATAAACTTAGCAAACACCTGGACAAAATGGGTCACTATCTACTTGTTCTATATAGTAATAATAAACTTAGCAAACACCTGGACAAAATGGGTCACTATCTACCTGTACTATCTAGTAATAATAAATTTCATCAACACGACCAGATCAATGAGAAATCGTCTGCACAGATTGACCCTTTAAGCTTATAAAATGAGAAATTAAAAGAAAAAATAAATGTGTAAAATTTCTTACAGTTTTATACAGTTCAAGTTCCTGTTTATCTTTAAGTTGCTTCACTTCTTCTGCTATCTCATGTGACTGAACAATTTGAAGAGAATTTAACATTATATCAATAAAAGTTTGATACTTTGCCAACTTTTTGAGAATCATTCATTACAGCAAATTATTTTCACATTGAGAAACTAACCTTGCTCCCGAATGAGGATATTCGGCGCCGAAGGCGTGCTGGAGGTTTTCGCTCTTCATCTTTGACCTCAGGAATCAGGTTAACGTGTCTTAGACTCAACCTGGTTTAAATCTCAAGAATTACTGGAAATACGTTCTTATTGTAGGATATATGTCTTTTTTATTTCTTTTAAGATCAAAGTATTTCTGATGAACACTGTTATGAAAGCATACCAAGTAGTATTGAAAATAATTCAAGATAACTTGCTACAATATCTTAACAGGAACAGGGATATGAATAATAAAGATTGTCGAATATTTGCAGTGAATATTGCTGTGAATATTGCTGTGAATTCCACTCCGCTAAAAACCTATCGTTGTCTCCGCAAGCAAACCGGGACCGGGACAGAAACAGTATTCAAAGATGCCTGATCTCTTCCAAATGTATCATGCTGGGTTAAACAGTCAGCCACAGTAATAAGTCCGATCTAGGAAGCATATTAAAAATATCTGGGAAACACACGAAAAACTATTAAAATTCTTGGAGGGGTTAAAGAAACATAAAGGATTATAGGTTATAAGAAAGTTTATTATTTACGAAAGTTTGTTTAACTATAATATTTATTAACTATAATATTAATTAACTATAAGCATTAGAAGATAAAATTCTTCAAGATTTAATCGTTTTAATAATATTTCAGATCAGAAACAAATTTAAGCTACGCTACTGGTTTACCTCAGGACAACCTCCAAGATAAAGTACAGAAAAGAAAAAGAAGTTCTACCTTTCAAGGAGAATGTCCGTCTCAAGTAGAGAATGAGAGAGGTGGATAGGTTCCCGGTCGTTGCAACTTATCATCAGCTCCTTCGTTTCCTTCGCCAACTCGCTTAACTGTATGTTCACCGTTTGGTTGGATCCCTGTATTTCCATCATACTTCAAATGTGTCCTTCTAAAATAACAAAGGAAAATATATTTATTGTGTAGTGTGTAGTGTGTAGTGTGTAGTGTGTGGTGTGTAATGTGTAGTGTGTAGTGTGTAGGGTGTAGTGTGTAGGGTGTAGTGTGTAATGTGTAGTGTGTAGTGTGTAGTGTGTAGTGTTTAGTGTGTAGTGTGTAGTGTGTAGTGTTTAGTGTGTAGTGTGTAGTGTGTAGTGTGTAGTGTGTAGTGTGTCGTGTGGACAGAACAAAAATATCTGACTACAGCTCTGTATTAAAAGGATACAAAATCAGGAGGCAAACCAATTTTTAATGGCTTGAAAGAGGATAGGGAGATGCCTTTTCCCAAAAATATCTGAATTTGAAATCATGTTTCCTGCTACATTCCAAGATAATACCGTAACAAGTTGGACGAACCATTTAACGTCATTTCAAATAATGTTAAGCGACTTAAACACGATGAGGTTAGACTATTTGATTTAATTGTACGAAATGGGAGAAAGGCAGTCTTCGAGATCATGGCATTAACGGACAACGGTGTTTTTGTCTTTGAGGTGCTAATGAAATTACTGGCCAGGTTACCAGGAAGTAAGTAGGATCAAATCACTGGCAGTTTGACAAATCACTGCCGCTAAAACGATTACCATAGAATCATCGTTGTCCTAATATTATGTTAACACTAAAGCTGTAAAGTGTAACCCGGTACCTCGCTATTATTAATTATTATATCGCAGTTGAAATGCAATAGTATAAACCCGCCTATCATATTTGAAAACACACATAACAGTGTCGTATGAATGTATGAACTCTTTCTACAGTCCAAACTGACCGCAATGAGTACACAACAGTGAATCTTGCAGCTAACCTAATCATGATTTATTTACCAACGCTGCATATGCAGTAATGGGGGAGAGAGCGAGGAGGGAGAAAAAGAGAGACATTTTATGTCACATTAGTAGTACAAAACCATTAATTAATCCACTTACCAGTACCACCGGCCGATTTAAAAAATTTGCTTATTGGCTCCGTCAGAGTTTTGTCGAAACTATACCGAAAAAACCAGTCTCGTAACTCTTACCGTTTTCTTAATTAAGCCGCTCGGAAATTTCCCACACACACACATTCTGAGATTATTATTAAGATGATCGTAATAAGTTTAGGAAGACTTAGCCCGTTCTGAAAAATCCTCGGCCGGGAAAGAACACAAACCTCACAAAAATATTATTCCATATTCGAAAAAAATATCATAAATGTGATGAAAACTGCACAATGAAATTGCAAAGTAAAGTAACAGAACAGAAAAGAGAACAGCAACGTTAACAGTTAATTATATTTCCGGCTCAGATCTCAAATATATACTGGAAATAATTCATTGATTGGATTTCAAGGATGTTTAAAAGGTTTATGTGAAGCCCCAAGCTCGCTGCCACCGATTCTACTCGGAGTAACAGAGTACTAAGAAAAGCAAAGTAAAGAAAAATTTCAGGGTTACAGCCACTGTTAAACCCCCAGAAAAGATAACAGCAACGTTAATCATATTTCCGGCTCAGATCTCAAATATATGTTGGAAATATTTCATTGATTGGATTTCAAGGACTAGGTTAAAAGGCAATAATTACATCATGATGTGATTTCGTATCATGATTGTCGAATTTAAACCGGAAATTTCAAGTAAACTCACTATATTGCAGGGTATAGATTGCCAGAAATCATGGAAATTATCTGGCAGGGGATATTTGTCCATGATCTCCCAAAACAAACTCTACTGAATGATTTCTTTTGTTTGTATGACAAATATTATTATCATAAAATGAAGAGTGAAGACCATCCACCTTGATTGATATTCATGATGAAATTGAGATGTTTATGACTGAGAGATATAACTTTTGTAACTAATATAAACATATTTTCAATATAAAAATTGAATAAGGAGACATCTAATCATAACAATGTGTTTTGATAAGAATTCTACTATAATAGGTCAGGCTTGCAGAGAGTGAGCGTTTCGAACACCTAACAATAAGTATTAAACTACTACTTGTAGCCGCGATAGTTACACTTCGTGACTAAGTTGGCAAAGGCGATACTTGAATATGACTTGCAATTTGATTAACTGTTCGCATCGTTATACGATTCTACTGCAAAACGTTTATTATATTGCAAAGTCTAGCATTCCGTGACCCCTATAGTCAAATTACAAGCTGCTGGAGACGAATAAATAGAAAAAGAAAACGGATCAAATTCCGACCTTGAGTTCTTGAGATTACGCGCGCCAAAGTTTGAGGTTTACCTGTATTTACTAGTAACACTGGAACTTAAAGCAGCTCTAACTTAGTTGACCTTTCGCCTTTTTAGTTCTTAGATGAGTTTCAGTTAAACCATTTCAACCAAGAGACCGAAAAGTTAGAAACGTTTTAAGTTCCAGTTTGACTAGTTATTACAGGTAAACCTCAAACTTTGACAGTCTGGGCTCTGGCCTTAAGAAAGATGTTCATACAATGAGGTTTCCTGATTCCTTTAAATTCGACTCAACAAAGTTGTCACTAGGTCTAAACGGAAACAATCAGATGTTGTGGTTCTATCATATTATCATAGGACTCTTTTAACACGTAATACGTGTTACACGTAGTACGCGTTGAATGAGTCAAAGACAAAAACACCGTTGTCCGTTAATGCCATGATCTCGAAGACTGCCTTTCTCCAATTTCGTACAATTAAATCACATAGTCTTACCTCATCGTGTTACACGTAGTTACCTCAAATTCTCGCATACCGATGATTCTGGAGGGGGATTGTTTAAAACATATTATAAGTGATACGAAAAGTTTGTCTTTCACTGATAGCTGTAATCGTTCATGAGATTGCACGGACGTCGCAGGATGAGCTTAATGCCAATAAGTACAACTCGGTATAAAAATAATACTACCAATTTGTCTTTTACGTAGATTTAAGCGAAGAATTTTGTGAAGTACGTAAACCTAATTGAATTATGATTTGTTTTCTTTTATTTGTTCCACAAGTCTCTCTGCTAGAGCATACAGCTTTCTTTATGAAGGAGTTTCAGGAAAATCTATGTTTAACAAGAAGGCTAGCCCACCAACGGGGAGTCAGAAATGGACATGGATTGATGAACAAAAAACCATTAAAATGGAATGAATGAGCAACGAGCACGAACAAAACAAACTGTCTCTGATAAATCTATTTCTTGTTAACGCTAAACTGACGTTACAAGATCGATTCTTTCAGCGGATTTCATCGATAATACCATCGTGTATCGTGTGATAACAACGATCAATTACCAAAGAGGTACTCGGATAAAGTAAAATCGCAAGCAACCTCCCTGGCCAGAGAGCGGGTGATTAAATGAGGAATGAGGACAAGTGGAAATTAATTGAAACACGTACACATTAAAGGCAATTATAACTGTGCTCAGCTATGCTTGTTAAATAAGCTCCATTTTAATAGTTTTTGAATAGTTTCAACAATATCTAATGTTGTGTGAGTTTTTGACCTTGAATACTTCGGGCCGGTCCCCAACAAAAAAAGAAATGTCCCAGTGACTCCATAAAGAGGGTTGCAAAAGACTGAAAAAATCTGGGAGAGCAAACGATGAGGAGGAAGTGATTAGTGAACTACAAGTGCAGTGCAAGGTGATGATGATCCAATTTTCATGGATTATATATATCATATATGCGTGTCCAAGAGATACTGACACGTATCAAACTGGTGGGACCTTTCCGCAGAACCTTTAGCTTTCTGCAAACTTAACAATAATAGTCAGAGCGCCCAAACGTCTCGGACTAAAATGTCGATTAGAACGAAAAATGGCAGATAAGATTAAGCTATCCATTATCCCTGACCATTGCATATATGTTAACGGAAAAGTCTAGACTCTAGAGACAACAGTATACTTTGATACCCACGTCCCAAATCTGAGGTGACAATTTCTGCTTGAATTTCCTCGAAATCCAAGATTAAAACTGAAAATGACCGAGATTCACAGCTCAGAAAAGTTTCCAAAAGTTCGATCTTTTTTGTTAATTATTTTAGTTATTATTTATTTTGAAGATTTTGCTCATGCAAAAAGCCTAGCTGAGCAATTTGGCACTAGAGATCATTTACCAAAAATACGGAGATAATTGTTGTGACGTAAGACGAATCTTCTGATTGAAAAAAAGGAGAACTGTGTGAGCTTATCCCTGTTATTATTATATCCCTGGCCATTGCATATATGTTAACGGAAAAGACTAGACTAGACAACAGGGCCCATGCTTGTGCAGGAGCTGCATTTGCACTCAATATCTGTGTTTTGGTGACCCTCAGGTCCTTTGGTTACATACATTTTGTCCGAGACAATTTCAACTTTGACAATCCATGCTTAGAGGACAATATTATATTTAACTAATTCATTATGTAAACTTGTATGAAATTGACTGATTTGAAAGATTCCAATAAAAGTATACTTTGATACCCACGTACTAAATCTGAGGTGACAATTTCTGCTTGAATTTCCTCGAAATCCAACATTTAAACTGAAAATGACCGAGATACACAAAAGGGATTCATAGTGTATCTTTGTGTGCATATATTTATATATTTGATTTCTAGCAATGTTATTTGATTTCTAGCAATTCTAGCAATGAGAAATGTAAATTTGGACTACACTTTATATATATTACTAGAAAGCCCGTGGTCACATGGAGGAAGGTAATAGTATTCTTTGATAGTCAATTTTTTATCGCATCAAAAAATATCCGTCACAACCGAAGATAAAGCCGAATTAAATGTTAAACACTTTAAACACCACATAATTACCACAAAACCGATCAAAATGGCGCTCGCAAATCTTTGCACGTGAGCACCTGCACAATCCTCGTTACCGTGGTTACTTTGCAACTACCTATTTCTCATCTATTTGCACGTGGGCGGTCGTGCAAACAAAGAGAATCTTTCGAATTATAATATAGACTAGAAAGCCCGTGATCGCAGGGAGGAAGATAATATTAGTTTTTG